CTGACTAGGGCAGAGTGCGTGTGGTTCTCACTATCTGGGGCCGATGATAGTGTGTTTTTTGGTGAACATTGGGTCCAATAGTCCGTCCAAACGACAATAGTCTTCCACGGGGTCCTTTCAGGTTCCATGTTTTGCTTGTTGCGAGGGTACTTGTTCTGAGCAGTGTGATCAGACCTTGGGTTAGGGAAAGGCGGCTTCGCAACTGGTGCATTTTGGATTCTTGGATTACTCCCTAAGTTTGGCTGAAAGTCGTGGACTCCCAACACACGCAATTATTTCCATTTGGGGTTGCATTTGAACCAACCACCGAATCACACATTTGGGCCCATAGCCACGCCATTCTTTGCAAAGAAGCAGAGGCCCTTCAGGGCAGGGCTTGGGTTGCACCAGGGATTATCATGGATGCTCTACAGACCGCATGGGGTAGCCGTATAGGGGTTCTGGCCCTACTTGAAAACGTGTGCTGCACGGCTCGCACGCGTGGAATGGTGATGTTTTAGCTCAGACTTTGGATAGGTGGCAAGAGCAAACACTTCGGCTAGATAAATATCCTAAAGGCCGCACCAAAAGCAAGGACCATCAAGCCTGAGAAGATATGAACAATGGGCGGGGCCATTGTGGCAAAGCCTTGTGCATTGAGCAGCCCGGGCTCCCGAGTACGAACACCCGGTTGTGGTGGTTTCAAAGGGACATCACACAACATATGGCAGCAAATTGGGGTTCTACAGCTTTGAACCATTTGAATACATGTAAAAGGACACGTATACATGTAAAAGGACACGTGTCTAACCCCAAGACACATTTGATGCTTTGAAAGAGTGGGCCGGCAAGCGGGCTGTGGGTTGGTCTTCAAATGAGTGGGTCCCTGACATGTGTGTGGCGGGCCGCCAAACACCCTAGAAAACATGGTATCCTTCAACGAAGCACCCACCGAAATAGTAGATCCACCTTCGTATGTTTCCCAAGTGGGTCCATGGGTTTGCTGTCCGCGTCAACTCGCCCAAAACGGGACCTTGCCAGCTTAAAACCCCAAACAAACAACACACGCACACACACACACATACATACGCACATTGAAACACCTCTGCTTCCTAGCCACCCCAAAACGAGCATTGCAGAAACCCAAGCTAGAATGTGGTTCTGCGCTTCAGACCGAAAGCCATGATCCACCAATACTGGTACCAAACGTCACCCATATCCGCGCCCAGCCTCGGTGCCTTGAAGGCCTTGGACCTCGGCAAGAAGTCAACCCCAGGGTCGCCAGATCTCCTTGGCTTTTTAGTTGGTTTGATTTATGCTGGCTTACTTCTATTGGGTTGGTTTATGCTGGCTTACTTCTATTGGACTGATTCATGGTGGCTTAATTCCTGTTGGCTTCCGTTTGAGAAAGGTGGGAGATCTACTGAAATCGCGACCGAGTTTAGCTCTGGTAGGTATTGCTTCGGCTTCCATCAAAAGACCATGGCTCGTGTCAAAATGGAAGGGACATAATTGTTTTGAAGCCCTGAAGACCCTGCCGTTCTGAGCCCTGAAGCCGCGAGGCTACGAAGCGGCCTCGCTCGTCTACGTGTCTTCGTGCTTTCGGGCCAATGTTCGGTGTAAACCTGTGCGCCTTCAATTCAAAAAGGTGCCTCCATTTAAAATAGAAGAGACGCGGGCTGCTAAAGCCAAGGCTTAACTCCTATAATTACCACAAGGTCAAGTCGGCCATAGTGCTCAGGAGAGTTGTCTTGCAATCTTGGGTTCCCAAAGTCGTATCACCGGTTGGCTTGTTCAAGAGGTTCACAGTTGTTGCTTGGAGCACGGGGCCTGCAGCACTTCTGCTCGGTTTCCATGATGGGGGACATGTATCAGGGCACCCCTCAATGTCCAAGGACTTGCCAAAATAAGCCTCTGACAGAAGGCCTTGAATACCTATCTGAGTATATGTGCTGAGTAAAAAACGTCCTTCCAAGGCCTCTTCCTTACTGTTGCAACAAAAGACCGTGCTATTTGGCATCGCCTGCTGGAATTTTGGGTGGCTGTGCATGCACCCTTGGCAAAAGTTGGTTTTGGTTCATAAGGCAGCACGTTTGTCAGTTTGCTCCCTGTAGCGCTGCATCTTCCGGGCGGGTCGCTTTGCCCAACGTGGTTATACAAACTGAAAAGCGTCGTGATCCTGCGCTTTACATATTTGTCGACACTGTTTCCGCGAACTTTGCACTTCTTTCGCTGCAGCGAATGCCACACTCTCGCACGAAAGCTGCGCTTGGCCCAAGTAAAAGCTGATTTTGGAAGCATCGTGCGGCTTCGCGGTGCCGTCCTCGCTTTGTGGCAGGGCAGTCCACGAATGTCTTCGCCTCCACAGGTTGTCCATGCTTTGTCCTCGTCCTTTCGAGGCTGCTCCACGGCCTTTTCACGGGTCCGTGCTTTGTCCATTGTCACCGGCGATGCTTTACGGCATTTCCGCTCTAGGCTTTGCCAGGCATCAAGCAAAGCCCTAAGAAGGGAAACTTAGAAGTGAACAGCATTCCCCAACCTAGATGGGACATGCATCGACATCCGCCCGGCGGGGGGGGGGTCCTTCCATTTCCCAACACGAAACTGATCAACCGCATCTATCAGCCAGATGCAAACACTTTAAACTTGCTTGAACAGAAGACCCCGAGAAAAGGATAGGACAAAACCAAACATGGAAGAACATGGGGAAACAAGCAGGGATCAAAGCGGTGCTAGGTTGATCCAATTTAAACAGTTGAGCCGGTAGTGGACATCTGGAGGGTTTTTGCACAGTTGAGCCGGTAGTGGACATCTGGAGGGTTTTTGCTGGCAAAGATCTGCACGAAGACAGCTGAAGCACCCTTCCCACTAAGATGGAACCCATCAGAAGGTCCCTTTTAGAGGCCAATGATCTTCTACAGGCCTTCAGTTAGTTTCCTTGTTGGTGGTTGGGAGGCTGCCCAGTCTTTCCAAGTCAATTCCATTGTAAGGAAGTATGCATGCGAGGGGAAGTGGGGGCAAGTCGAAAATGAAACACCTCGAATTAATCGACTTTGAAGGCGCGGGACTGATGGGGGGGGGGTTATCCTCATAAATCCACGAGCTCCCAAAGCCTCCCTCCCGCCTGAGCGGCGACAAGGCCCAGGGCGGAGGAGATCGACCTGGCAAGCGAGAGACATCTTGCCATTGAGATCGGGCCCTGCCTATGTGGCCATGGGTCAATCCGAATCGTACCCCCGGTGAACATCCCAATTCCCACTAACATAGACTACAATAAAAATGCTGAAACCTCTCTTTCTGACACACATTCAAGCCGTTGCCCCTTCAACAGGGCTGTGAGGTGGAGCGAATTTTCAAGTTGGCAAATGGCTGCAGCCAAACGAAGAGCCGAAAGAAGAAATGAGTTCGGCTGAATGCTTATATCTCTAGGTGAATCACAGGTGGCCCCCTCTGAGTACAGTCCTCCAAATTGGAGCACCAAACAACATCACATCGTGGTTGACATTCTCGTGATTCTGTCAACTATAGCTTACTTGATCTCCTTTCCTTGTTTCTCTTGGTGAGGGGCAAAAGGATCCTTCGCCACACTGAAGCGGCTTGGCCGGCCTGCGCAGCCCCAAATCCGCCAACGGGACCTGGGAGAGACTCAGGACACCCCGACGGTCTGGAAAGAGTTGGCCACGCCCTCCTTTTGCCACCACCCCTGCTATCCTCCCACCAACGTGGAACCTGACCGGATGTCTCTTGAAGGATGCCTCAGCTTTTGCCACCAAAAGTGCCATTGGGCGATTACGCATGTGTCACCATACAATGCAAACATGTTCAAACAAAGGTCTCAGGGTGAAACCGCTCATGCAGACCGAGGCTACAGGTGCTACGCAGTCAATAGATCAGGTGAGTAAACATCGAGCAGAACCCAACTAGGCGCTGCTTCCCGGTGACTTGGGGAAGCTGTCGTTTCCTCCGCACCCGCGGGAAACGCATCGGATTGCAGGAAGCCTCTTGGCTCAAGGCGGCTCTGTTCCAATGATCGGCAATCAACATGGGGATGGCTCCCCCTCTTAAACAACCAAGTAAACAACCAAGTAACTAAGTAAAAAAAAAAAAAAGTAGGGACCCAAGTTCATTCTCAAATTGACACTAAAAACAAGTACCATCGAATTGCAAAGTCTGACCTGCTCAGGCCCCAGTCATTGCCAAGGATGGTGACTCTGTGTGGTGGTTGTTGCAAGTAGGCTACTGTTATTTGCGTGCTGGGCTCGGTCCGCAAGCCATAAAGTCTCTGTGATATTCGCCCTTGAACGCCCGGAGCTATTCATGCCCAAATGAAGCCAACATCTCCGCACTCCGCCTTTCAGATCTGGAAGGTGTGCAACACTTTGCAAGGCAGACGTGCAGGAAATTCACTGTCGCCAGAGAGAGAGAATGACAGGATGTTCAAACAGCCTTCTTTTGGGGCCTTGGTCCTTTGACAGAGAAGGACACCTTTCAGCAAAGTAGGCTGAGTTGAAGTATATATGGCACAATTTGCTTCATGAAGGTAAGCAAAGGGGGCGACGAAACCTAACTGGGACAATTGCGCCATCGACTCTCATTCAACTACAGCTGGTGCAACGCAATAGGTCACAAACAAATCTGGCCACGGCAGCGATATTTTTCCACCTAGCTGTGGGCATTGGCACCATGCCCCAAGTTTGCGGGAATGAATCAAATGAGGGAAAGCTCCTTGAAGCAAACCACAAGCAAACCACATCCAGCGTGTGTCAACTTGTGAGCTGCCGGAGTATCACAGGAGCATCCCTCAGTTTGAAACATGTCCCTTGTCTACAAGGCTCCCAAGCCTACTCCGATCAAGAGGATCTCCTGAGACAAAAGCTTTTCAACCAGTAAACCCCTCTGCGTTCCTAGCGGGCTGTGTTGCTAGCAAATCAAACAAAAATAACAAAACACAACAGCCACTTAGATGACTTACGGCGCGTGTGGCTCGTGCTTGTAGAATGAAACGGCCACTTGATGCTTGATGGTTGCTTTCGGGTGGGGCGAGCCCAGCGCTTCCGTGTCAGGCGCCCGCCCATTGGGCACTCTGCTTTGCAGACCACCCGAGAGCGGAGAAAAAAAAAGGGACGGCTGAGCCGCTTTTGCCGCACGGCTCGACCAGCCGCCCGGCACCAGGCCCAAAGGCTTCCGAATAAGCTTTTTATACAAATCCAAACGGCAAATGGCGACACTTACTTTTTGTGAGCTGGCTGAAATTATCGTACCTTTTGCGAGGCAACCCAGCAAGTGCCTTTACAAGGCAAGCCGTTAACATTGCCATCCCAGGTAGTCACATGCCGCGTATTCATACGGCGCACGTGGCTGCAATTCGCAGTTGCCATCACTTGTGGCTCTTCCTGGATGAGGACTGGTGCCTGCCATAAAGCCAATCGATGGCAAAAGGACATCTCCGCTGCCCTAATTCCCTCGTAATTCAGGGGGTGACCAGACCATCCCTAGCCAAGGATAGGAAGGTGATTTGACCATGGCAAATGCAGGTTTCTCTCTAAGGGAAACCTACATGTGTTGGCTCCTTTGCTTTCTGCTAGCCCTCAGAGCGGAATCCTTCACCCATGGAAACCGGCGGTAGCCCAGCTTTTGAGGCTGGTAGCCGTGTCAGTGTTCAACAGGTCCCAAAAAAGAAAAACACCTTTGGGAGCAAAGTCTGTACTGGTTAGGCCCTCTATTCACGCGGGACGCAATTGCCTCGTTCAGGAATTGGGAGATGTGTGTGTGTGTGCACGAGCGCCGGCGCCTGTGTGCCTGGACTAGACTAGCATCAGCCCAAAATGCTTCCATCAACTTAACGTGATGCGACCACCCTCCACAAACCATCAAACTCCAGGCCTTTCCAAAGACACGTTGGACATGATTGAACGTGAGTCTTTAGGGGTTAGTCCTCCAAAGCGGACTTGGAATTCTACAAAATCATTGCGTGTCTCCCAGGTTGCGCTCTGGCAATGGAAGTGCATCCCAGAAATGGTTGGTGGTGTATTGTTTGTCCTTTCAAGTGGCCTCCACATCAAGCCAACAACGGAACTGTGAGACAAATGAGATACAGCAAAATGATACAAAGTTAACCCAAAACGGGGCGTGCAGCCAATGTCCGTTCTACGGCAAATAATGTCCGGCCTACGTCACTCAATGTCGGTTCTATGGCTAATTTTTCGTTGATGGTCGTTGAATCTTCCAGAGTCCACTTCAAAATGGAGCTTGGCTAGCGGGCCCCTCCTGAAGCCGGCAAGAAATCGCCAAGACAGAACAACACATCAATGAGATGCCACTGGCACTCTTACCTAATAGTCAAGGAAGACCAAGTCCAAATACACATATCCAAATACACATGTCTGAATATTTCACATGTTTTCTTGCAAACTTACTGGGATAGGCATCGGTGGCAAGAAGCCTACAACGATGACAACCAGCACAAGCTGCAACTGAAAAACAAAATAGCAGGTCAAAACCGAAGGCTGCAGCTCCCCGCAACGACTTCTTTCTTGACAGCACTTGGGATTTTGAACATGGGAGAAAGCAATCCTTGGAAGGGGGGGCTGCCGGAACAACAACCAAAAAGAGGAACTGTGGCAATCATGTGTGAGCTACGTTGGCCAAAATTAAGGCACCAGGATATCAGCATGATAAGAAAGCAGCAAATGGCTCACAACCTTCGGGGAAACCTAAACAACCCTTTGGGCAAAAAGAAGAAACTGACCAAAACTGGCGGTGTGTTTGTGTGGGGGGGGGGGTGTGGTTGGGAGCAGCTTCGCTGCCCGCCTATTGCTCCTTCTGCTCTTCGGAGTTTTGGGCACGTCCATGGTGCCAGTGCCAATGCCTCCCCAAGCGAAAACATCGTCTCAAATTCTCGTGGGGAACGAAGACACCGGTTCAGTGGAATGTTGAGCCTTGTTTGCAAGGGTTGCTTTGGATGCTCATTATTGGGGATGCCCTGAAGGGAGTTTTCGACTGAAACAAGGTCTTTTCACCAGCGCCAAAGAAGCCCAAGTCTCCAAACACATCCCACGAGTTGTGGGAATCCACGTCGACCTCGTAAAATCCAAATGTCCACTGGCAAAAAGTCACGCACTCCGGCTCTAGTCTCAAAGCTGGTTGCATGGGCTGCATTGGCATGCGTAACTCTCTGCAGAAGGGTTATGGCTCTTGCATGGCCTTCCACCTCCCATCGTCTGTTCTTCTAGCCCGCCTTGCCACGCTTTATGCTGGCTACAATTGGGCACTGAGCGCGTCAACAAAAGCGGTGCTACAGCAGAAGCGGTCAATGTCCAAGTCTTGGTCGATGCTAGCAGTGCTCTAGAGCCGAATGCAATCTGCAAAAAGTACTGTCTGTTTGCACTCATCTCTACCTCAGCAATTGACTTTCCTGCATCTGCCGGCCTGATGTTCGTTGGAACGCCACGCAAACTAAAGACGCAGGCTCCGTCACTTGGGGTTCAAATTCGCCGATGGGTCTAAAGTCCGGCCAGGGGCTGGGAGACAAAACTCCCTTCCCTTGAACCTGTTCGGCATTGGAAGACCCTGACTCTTTAAGAGGGCTTGGTCTTCTTGCTGGCCCTTGCGAAACGCATACGTGTAGATCCCGGGGCCGTCCAAATACGTGAAAAGGAGACAATAAGCGCATGTGGAATCGGTTCCTGCAAGCAAAAAGCAGCTTACTAATTGACAATCCCTGCAACAATAACAAGTCCCCGAATATTTTGCTCAAAATCCCAGGGTCCCCAATACTACCCTCCGACCACGACCAATTAACATGGAACCTGACAGGGGGGGTCCTGGAAGAAAGTTTTCCGCTTAAAGGGACCCCCCAGGCTCCATGTGGGGAACGACCCCACGGAAGTGTTTTCGGATAATAGAATGCGTTTCTACCCAGGGACGTTGTTTTCATTGGGGGGACGCAGGGGGGGAGCGGGAGGCGTTTTGTATCGTTTACGTTTGGCGGGAACGCAGTAGTTGTCGGTATCAGCAGATTCGCCCCCCGTTCACAACTAAATCCCGTTTACTCCCTCCCACAAAAATTAAAAAGCCTGATATTTAAGTACTCACCGCAGTTCGGTAAAAGCTCGATCCGGACTGAGCTCGCTTTGAAAGAATCGGTGCCCAGTTGCCATGGGGCTCGTTCAGCAAATAGCTCGGAATTTGCCGGGCGGAGCCAGAGCAATCGATGACCTTGTGCTCTGTGAAGCTGAACCTCAGCTCTTTCCAAAATACTGGGCTTCACAATTTTAAAACAGCCTATACCAATAGGGATGACCTCAAAAGCCGTAACAAAATGGGTCCAAACTCTTTTGCACTTGCCGAAAGGCTATGACGAAATTGAACGCCAACGCTATACTCACACTAACCGCAGTCCTAGACGTCATGCAACCCATGTCAGGTAGAGTACGATGCCTGCCTACTGCCTGCTCCGCACCAGCATCGAACTATTGAATCGGGAGATGCTGAGCGGCTCCTTGGGATTTGATTCATGGCTGTGACCCCCATCCGGCCCTCTCTCTGCCTGTGCCTCCGGCGGTGTGGGGTTTTGGGGCCCTCATCCCAGGTTGGAAAGCCATTTTAAGGGAAACCCTCCAAACAACAGGGGGTCGTTAAATATACCGAGGCCCTGAAGACATTGCAACATGACACGTCCACATTTTGTTTTCCTTCTGGGACCAAAAATTGGAGTGGGCTGTCGGCTTTTTAGCGCCCAAGTGGAATCCACTGACTTACAACCCTTAGTCCCAGGTTGTGATTGTGGCTCAAGCGATCGAAATCCTATTTGGGGGTCAACTCCACTTTCGGTGAATCCCGAACCCACCAAACAAAGCGAGCCAAGGGTGGGTGGGTGGGTGGGTGGTACGAGTAGGTGGGGGTTGACAACGTTTGGAACTCCAGTGCGCACAAAGTTCCGCACATACCGGTGTTTTTTTCTGCACAAAAACACACACGGTCGCCTATGGCGCGAACAAAAAAAGGACAAACAAGGGGCCCGGAATCCACTAAATTGTGTCCATTGATGGACGAAATCCTACACCAAATAGGTGGTTCCTCCCATTCAATCCCAACTGCAGGAATTCAGAAACTCGCCTCTACCTTGGTTGGTGTTGACCCCTCTGCAAAAAGTGAAAAGCTTTGTGGGGTCCAATGAAAAATCGACCAATTTGTTTAACCAAACAGTTCAAGTCCTCCAAAGATTCGCTACCAACTAGCCATAACATGGAAATCCTGGTCGAGATAGGCGGTTTCTCCCATTCACATCCCAACAGCAGGAGTCCACTGCACCTCGCCTCTATGTCAATGTCTAACCCTGCGAATGGGGGCCCGCACTCTTTGCTGAACTGCGCCATGACGTCCACGAAGGTGGCGCTGCAGCAAATGCGCCCGGGGATTCCTGGGCGCGCCGGAAACGAGGGCGCATGGGCGAACTTTGCCATGAGGACAGTGGGGTTGTGCTTTTGCGAGAGTACCCTTTCCAGGTTTGTTTCGTGGAATGCTCACAAACAAGCCCAAAGTGGCAAGGGTTGACCCCAAAAAGTGCCAAGACCACCCACTTGAAATTGCGGAAGCTATCGTGCAAAAGGGGCCTGTACGTGCCCATGAGGCTGGCAATGACGCCTCAAAAAGGGGCAACGCGCCAAATGGTCACAATTTCCTTTGAGAGAAACTCAACAGGATCAGAAGTTCTTAGTCCCCGACAGATCCGTTGCACCTTGAAATCGGAGGTAAACTTGTTGAGCTGGCCGGGACCAACAAATGTGAAGCTCGAAATGTCAAAGCCGCAGAATCGCGTGGAACCAATGGATGTCTCTGAGCAAGAAGAAAGGGCGAGCAATGAACGCTGGGTCTCCAACGGCAAAGTTTGTTCGCCCGGGCGGGCGGGGAAAGAACTACCCTCCCCTTAGTGGCTGGCATAGAGGGAAACGACGAATTCACCACGGAAAACCAGGGCATGATCGGTTTCCGGAAACAGTCGCTGCCCGTGTCTGGCAAAGAAGCTCTTGGGGATTCCGACGCCGGCTGATTCTCTTCTTTAGGCCCTTGTTTTGAGATGGAGCCTGGGCGAATGCTAATCATTCACCGACCAGCAAGGCATCACTCAGGAAGCGTTTGGGAGAGCTCTCACAACCGGTTCTTGGCCAGACTTAGACTGCAAAAAAACACAGTTTGATGCTTGACAATAGATTCGAGGAAAACCCGAAGGAGCAAAAGAGCAAACACAAAGTCCAGCAAATATGAGCTAAGTCAAGAAGCGCTTTGAGAGGTGTGCATAACTTGTCCAGGTTGAATACTTGAAATATTCAATGGACTTTTCACAAAGCGAGTTCACGGTTCTACCTGCTTAGCATTTTTGAGGCTCAGCTGCGTGCAGCGGCTTTGTTAAAATGCCACTCCTGTTGAACCGTTGGATAAAACAAGACGGACTACATCAATTGTAAAAACAGCCTGTTCTAATGTCTCGATGCCAAACCAAATGACACAACTCCTGTTTTATTGTACAAAAACTTAAGGCCAAACCCCAGAAATACCATCCCAAATTCTTGCCCCCCCCCTGCAAGCACTTTGACTTTTGCTCAAACTTAAGGGGCCATGAGGGAACCCAAAAAAAAGCGGGAAAAAAAGAAAAGAAGAGGTCGCTCTGCTTCTGGCGATGAAACGAGGGAATCAGGTGCTGCACAGCATCCGTTGGACTCCATCTGGTTGCCAATCAGCACATCCTGCCCATGGGCAACGTCCAAGCGGCATAATTGGAGGTGGGACAAAAGAACCCCTTGGACCCATCTGGGTTGTATGACAAGGGCGGTGCGAACTGCAAGCACTGTTGCTGGCTTAACGATCTATCCTTGCCGTTTTACAGCGTCTTCATCTGCAGTGGCAACTGCTTGTTTCTGATTCAAATAGGTTCCACCAGCTTCTTTTGACTCGCTTTTCGCGAAAGATGTCACGTAGCTGAATTTCAACAGGTCACTTGAGCGAGATTAAGGCCACTTAGGCTGCAGAAGCACAACTTAGAAACACGTGGGTGCCTGGCTACCTTGCGGAGTGCAAATTTCAGCCAAATCTATGTAAACTGGGCAAAGTTGATGACAAGCAAGCGACTCAATCGAGCTAGTTGACACTGCAGTAAGGCCTCTGTGTGACCTAAGTGACCTCCATTTGCCTCTCAAATGACCCGCATTGACACTCACATTTGAATAATGATGCGCAATCAACCTGCACTTCAGTTGGCCATGAATTTGCTTACAAGCTCGCTTGAGAACAACACTTTGCACGCTCCAGGGCAACAGAGATGCCATTTTTAAAAGCCAGCTCCGACGCTGCTAAATGGCCTGGATTGTGTTTCTGTATAAGTAGTCATCATTTGAGATTAATGGACTAAAAAGAGGCCGGCGTTTCACTCTAGTTTTTGGACCTGTGGCAGCTCTGATGAAATTCCACCCCAACGAATTGAAAGTTCGGACGGGGAGCCAGGGATCCCCCAATAGGGTGGTTTTACCGACCTTTCTGGCTTTCCGTCAAAAGGACGGCAAAAGGCTAACCTCAAGAAAGACACAGCCAGGATTCCTGTTCATGCCTGAAAGGAGTCTCACTATTGGAGACATACCCCGGTGTCTGCAGGATCAACTCTGCAGCGTGTCCCTGAGGAACCAGCAATGCCAAAACATGGCTCATGCCTAAAACCATACGCAAGAAAACCGAGGAACAAATGGTGGTAGCACACCGCTGGCATGTATGGTCACATTGAGGGGAAGCGAGGAAAGGGCCTTGGTCTTCAAGCAGCCATTTTCGTCTCGCCTGTTGTCTCACGGTTGTTGCTGTTGTTGGCTTTGTCCTCGTCTGGAACCCTTACACAAACCAAGGAATTTGTGGGTTAAATGCTGCCATGTCTTTCCTCCTGTTGCTTGGCCCCCATGCCTGACGGCCAACCAACACCTGAACTCAGCACCTTTGAGCACGCGCTTTTCGTGGCAGCAAGGAGCATCCGAAACCCCAGTAGAACGCGCAGTCGGACTCGGCGTGGAGTTGCCATGCCCAAATCCCATGCCCCCCAGCCCAAAGCAACCCCGGGCGAGTTGCCCAGTGACCTGATGTGAAAGCATTGACTTGTGGTCTGCGCACAAACTCCTCGTTGTTTGTTTGATCAGGGCTCCTTTCTCAGGGAGAAAACAAAGGGGTTCTCAGTTCCGAGAACCCTTCTGGAGGGTAGGGCGTGGCAACTGTCTCTCCTGACTTTGGCGCTACAGCATGTGCAGTTTTCACAGGATGCGCCTACTCATGAACATTCAATGCAAATGTTTATTCATCTGGGCAACAGGTCTGCCGAAGCTCTGAGGCAAAGATGAGCATTGGTCGATCGCATTTACCCAGCTGAACCACGAGTCAGGGAAGAACGAAGGTGCATATTTTGCACACAGGGGGAATATATGAACTCAGACCATTTCTTTCTCTGCAATCCTTTTCTTTGTGCGGCGCGCCTCGCCCCAAATGTCAAAGCGCAGCTGGTTGCTGCCGATGACTCCAGCCACGAATGACCCGTGGTGCAGGCCAATTCGCATATTCAGGCCTGGCGACGTTTGCAGGCCCTTGAGAACATTAGCAGCAGGTTGGGTTGCCGGCAACATAAGGATTCTCATCGCATTTCCTACGCAAGCACCTAACATGCTAGAAAACCGCCCTGCAACTAAGCTTCTTCACCGAAGCTGCATAATTCACATTGATCCACCATGCTTAAATACCCCCCAAAGCCGTACACCTGTTTGCGAAAACGTGAGCTAGTGTCTGACTTTGACAAGGGCAAACAACAATCTACATAATAACTCCAGTGCGATAATTGGTCTTCATTGCAGAACCTGGGCGGTTCTGGAGAACTCAACCACTTACCGATCCACTTGTGGCTTTGAGCGGACTTTGAACATATAGGGTATTTGGCAAACCAGATGGCGGTTTTCATGGTGGTTTAACTATAGACCAACCCCAAAACGAGTAGCTTGAACAACCCAGCCCTGGACACAAACACACACACAGCACTCAGGACCCCTTGCGGGACCTTAACCCGGCCGGCCGCGCCTTCATGCTGCACTTCGTTCCGCACCTCCGCCAAAGAGCCAACTGAACAGCCGGAAACCCCGCGGTTGGCTCTGTGGTTTCGGGTCGTGTAGGCAAAATCCAAGGGTTTGCCGGAGAACTCCCTTACCTTCGGCTCCAAATTGATTGGTTAGGGCGCAGGCAGCGCATTCCCTACCATACCAGGGAACAACTTGAACCCATTTTGCTCCATCAAGGTAACGAAGGATCCCGAAGTCAATGAGTGCAATGGAACAATAAACGGACATCACAGTCCATCTCAGGGGGTGCCTATCGAGATCCCTACATACCGTATTCTTAGGGACCCGTTTCGTCCACCCGCCCCTTGTCCCCAAACGCAAAGCCGCAACCGCCAAAAAAAACGCGCGCGCGCGCAAAACGCAAAACGCGAGGGGCGCGCGGCGCGCCAAGGCACTGTGACGATGATGCGGAGCATGGCCATGGCGAGGTGAATGAGAACCACCGCGCCCAGGACCTGAGCGGCGTGATAGGAAGCTTGGACCTTGTGTTTGGGCCTAAGGGGGTGCTCAATAGAAAGTCATCCCCTTCCGGCTTCACAAAAAGGGAATTGAAGAATGATGGGCTAAGCACGGAAGCGGCGCACGGAGGCGCACCGAGGTTTGGCCGCGATGGGAGAGGGGGGGGGGGGGGGGGGCGGAATGTGGTTTTCTTGTGCTCTCCTGGGCAAAAAGGGGTGCACCTGAGGAATTCTGCACTCTTGGGGCTGGGGGCCAAGGGGGGGGGGCCTTGAATTCATTTGAGCTTCTTGGGGTTTGGCTTGCTTGGTTCTTCTGGCCTTCCTAGTTTCGACACAGCTTCTAAAGCTTGCAATCGAAAGTAAAAGCTCGTTGAGTTCTTCGGGCGAGCAAAGCGTCATTTCATAACCTGGAACCTTGTGAATCTCTTGGGCGGGCGCTGGGGCATCCTGACTGAAACGCAAGCTCAAATCAACTGTCACTGGGCGCCCGTTACCCTTCACTGTCAAAAGCTTCAACGGACAAATAACAAGGATCCCCTCCCCCCAAAGCAGCTCTCAGGTGGGTGTGCTCGAGACCCCTGAGACGGCCCTGATGGAAAGAATCGTTAAAACCCATGGCGGGATTTCTACCAGGTTGAGTCACCCCCACCTATCTACTTTTGCCCGGAATTGGAGCGTCAGTTCATTGGGGCCACCACCTTGTCGTCGTGCTCCGTCTTGGGCTCGTTCACGGCCAGGTAGGCATCTCCGATGGTGCAGACCTTGTACCTCGGCGGACTTTGAGCCTTTCAAGACATGGGTAGATGCATACACAAAACCACACATCTATGTATCCACCCAAGCCCATCCCCACTCAATCCACCCCAGCAATCGCATCCATCCCATCCCATCCATATATATATATATATGTTTATGAACACACGTAAGTGTGCATCAAATAATGCTAAAATTACGTACGCTATACACACATGGTCTGCATGCGTGAGTTGACCTGCACATGGCAAAATAGGTCACGGATCGAAACCGTGCAACTCTAAATGTGCACAGCAATGTGACGCCCTAAGAGCTGCACAAAGACATTGCAACCACAACCCTCGTGGATCCACAGCAATGTGACGCTCGAGCTGAACAAAGACACGACAACTTGCAAAGGATGGTCATGGGTTTCACCGATGAATCCGGGAGGTTGGTTGGTGTTGCTATAACTGTGTCAGCTTGCAAGAGTGCCGGTTCCTGCTGCCTGGCAGGTGGCTTCAGTGGGTTGAATGCATTCAAATAGTGTTTGTTGAATTGTTAAGGGATGGTTTAGGGCTTGTTATGGATTGTTATTGACACGTCCGATCCTTCTGTGATGGTGACAAAATGTCGGCTTGCAAAGGACACATAGGGACACCACTTAATATTTAATGCCAACACTGGACGGATAACCAGTTTGCTAGCGAAGCCGAAATTGCCGTTCAGGTTGACTCGAGAGGAACTTATGGCAGGGTTCAACCGCAAAAATCGCAAGCAGAACAAAAGAGGAGTGGGGCTTGTCGCGCTGGGTGTTCAATGAGTGTGGAAAAAACAAGAAATTTAACATATAGCCGATGTCCCCCTTTGGCGCTTCCCTTTGGGGAAAACTAGATATCATGGGCTGTTGAGCACCGAAAAACAGTATGGACATCATTCTGCCTACAGTATACTGTGAGAGGACCTTTCTCCAGTGCAGTCACCTGCAGGGGGTTTGCCAAAAAGCGTTTTCTAAACCGCGGCAAGCCACGCGCCCAGCAACTTGCAGCAGTCATCAAACCTCGGACAGGACTCTGCAGTTAAAAAAGGGGCGGGAGCGCAGCAGAAATTATGCATTCCACTAAAACTGAATAGAACATCATAGGGTTGTGATTCTATTCATGTTGAAGGATTCAGGTTTGGGGGTCCAGTGTTTATGGAAGGATCCCCGGTGACGCACAAGTTGCACCTTCACCCATGAGAAACCAGTCGGCAAATATGTTCAAGGAATGCTTAGTGGCCCAGGAAGGCAGGGGCAGGCAACATTGAGCATCACTTCCGAAAGTTACCAGGGCGTTGCGGTTTCGCTGGTTCACTGACAATAGGGAATCCAGCGTGCGGACGAATCATCGGATTGGCTGATCTCGTGGTCACATAGGGCACTAGCGAAACGGAGCTCAACAAATGGCATTCAAATCGCCTATACCCCAAAAACAATGTAAAGAAGCTGCAAACGCACGCATTTCCCGCCCTACTAACTAGGCTTCACTTAGCCGGGCTTTGATTGTGGCTCATTTCAACATCAAACATTCACCCAGGTGCTCAGAACCTCTCCGAAATACCAGGGATGTCTTCCCGCTTTCACTACAAAAACGGCTCAGACACCACCATGTTGAGAAGAAACCCGGGAATGAGTCACCCCCCGTCCTTTGGCATCTGATTTGTCAGGCGCCAAGCAGCCGAGCGAAAAGATGTGTCACTAGCCTGGCAGATGGCTGGGCTCCCTTCACACCAAGGGAGCCCAAAATAACTTGTGACCTTCCCAGAAAGAGCTCTTTTTGTTGAGGGTACCCCTCTTAGCTTGGTTTTTATGGAATCCAAACGGAAACCCATTTTTCTTGGGTGACACATACGCACATACATCTATCCTCTCACCCGCTAGCTATAACATGGAACCTGTTTGGGGGCTTCTGGAAACACTCTTCAAGAAACTCTGGGGTGGGCTTCCATCAGTGGAGGGCTGCAGTAATAGAATTCCATTTCCTAAAGGACAACGCTAACCAAGTGTCCACAAACCTTCGGTCAGCTCGTGAGCCGTAGTGGGGGATACCAATGATGCTCCCAATTCTTGGAGCGCGACTGAAAGGCCATGGGGCCACAATTGGAGGTTGCGGAGTGCTGTCAAACATAATTTAGTCATGCTCTTCGGGGCAAGGTCAAATTAGTGCCTCGTATTAGTATAACTATATGCTACGCCCCCCCCCCACCCCCCAGTGGTGCCTATATTTTGCTTGATTTGAGCGCACGGGCTGTGTAGTTTTCATGGCACCCACTAGGTGCACCGTTTTGCTTGGTTTGAGCAGGCAGGCTGTAGTGTGTGTGAACATGCTTTGCAGCAGACTTAGGCAGGGATATGCGGGCTTGCAGTCCATCATGTCCATCTCATTTGGTTTTGGACAGAGAGCAATTCCACTCCACAATTCCAGGTAAATATTTCAAGCACAAATGCATCAACATGTAGACATGCTGGAAGCCTTTAGAAAGACCCGGGGAAATTGTGTACTCCCAATAGAACAAAAAAAAACTAGAATGCAGGTGGCCTGAAGACATAGTTTACTCTGTTGTAGGCAAGCTTAGCCGCGCTTTCGTGTTTGCACAGAAAAAAAACTGTCTTTTCGTGCAATTTCTTTGCACAAGTTTCTGTGCGCAAGTTCTCTGAGCAAGTTTCTGTGGACAAAAAAAGAACACTTGGGTACCTCTTTCGCACAAGACATGCATATGTTCTCGATTCAAGATTCACAATTGTCCAGGAAAGCTTTCTCCAAAATAATGACTCCAGAAAAAGGCCATAGAGTCAGTTGAAGACAATAGTATAGTGTACGAAGCCATCTTATTCTAGTTTTGGACAGAATGCAATTCATGATGGTAATAAGAGAAAACAAGCGTTCCAAGCAAAATGTAGACACGCCGAACCCCCGGCAATTGCAGAAACGGGACCGACAAAGGACATTTGAATATTGCGGGAACAAAAAGGAAAAACATCTTTCAGGAAAGCATTGTTCAGAAAGCAAAGGATATTCAACATTGAAGCTTGACGATGCAAATGGCTTCCCATGTTTGTCAACTAGCCCCCTCATGACTGCTGAATCTAAACTTCTCAATACAGCATTTCGATCCAAAGCACAGAACTTCTGCGGGACTTTTGGGGATCTTCCATTTGAATGTCTCGCCCCTTAAACCTAAGTGCCGGTACTCAGATCTCTTGGTACTGGTATTCAGGTTTCTTAATACCGGTGTTCAGGAATCTGGGTCCAAGATCCAAGATTGCTGGGGGATTTTTGAGGGGAATCTTGGATCCATCAAGCCCCCTGAATCCTCAATACCGGTAGTAAGGTTTCTTAGAACTGTTCTGTAGATTCCTGAATACCTGTTAATCAGCAATGTGGATCCCAGGAAAACCCTTGAAGGGCATCTTGGATCTTGGATCCAGACTCCTTAATACCGTATTGGGGACTTTTAGCACCGTCTGGATTACAACATGTCTTTGTTTGCAGTTGCCAGATTGTTCTATGTTGCTTAAACAACATACGGGATTCAGGGTTCAAGAACTCCAGAATAAATATTGTGTTGAAATCTTGAATCTTGAGTCGTGAATCCCCGATTTTGCATGTTTCAACACAATGGGATGGATTGAAATCTTGAATCTTGAATCCCTTTGTTGTTTGTAAAGGCAACAGCAACACAAACTGTCCGGAAACAGGTTGTTAAAATACAAAGACATGTAGGCACCAAGGGGGGGTGTTTCCAAATATACATATACATATTATTATGTATCCAAGGGGAGGTTTCGATGCAGCCCTTGCATGCAATCACCTCAGCATGGAACGAATAATTACACATCACGTATTTGCCGCCGAATAAGGCATTCAGTATGTGTCGGATTCAGACGCCAAAGATCGCCAAAGTAGATGTGTACTGAATAGACATTGTATCCAATGTGAAGGCCTGCTACCATATGACATTCTATGACAGTTTCCCCACCTTGCATCACACTCCAATAGCCCACTGGCGTTTAACCATGAACCATGAAGCCACTTCCTTCGTTTAACCAGACCTGGAGCCACAACAAGGAGGACACGTCAAGATAGTGGCCTTGAATGGTCGCCAATGGGCCGGAATAGTCGGTAGGCTGCAATGGCAGCCTTATGGGTTTGAACCAGTACAGTGTATGACACTTCCAGCATCCTTTGACAACGTCTGCGGATGCCCCAGAATCACGGATCCCCATCCTCCCATCTTTCCAGGCGCCTAACCGCCTCGTTGGGCGAGTGGGAGGAGCAATACTTTGTGAAGCCGACGATGTCCGCAAAAAGAAGCGTCATGTCCTCAAATCCCCCACCCACCATGAAATCCATCCTGATACCAAAGAGTCCCTGTCAAAGGAAGCTGGAATTCCCCCCCCCCCACCCCCGCAAATGCGAGTTGGAGGGGGTATACATCATATACTTTATACGTCCAAATATTCAATTATGGTGTAGACATGTGTATATTTATCCAATTGTCGCCCTGAGTGCAAGAAGTTATAAACACTCGCACACACACACACAAACACAACACACACACACACACACAAAAACACACAAACACAAACAAACAAACAAACAAACAAACAAACAAACAAACAAACACACAAACAAACAAACAAACAAACAAACAAACAAACAAACAAACAAACAAACACACAAACAAACACACAAACAAACAAACAAACAAACAAACAAACAAACAAACAAACAAACAAACAAACAAACAAACAAAAACACACACACACACACAAAACAAAAAAAAACAAGCGCAAGCCCAAGCGCACGCGTGGTGCGGGGGAGCGCACGCGTGGTAGGGGCGCGCACGCACGCAGACACACACAGACAAGCTTGGCCGCGGACAAAGGAAGGGAAACACAAACGGCCTGTGCAAGCCTACCGGGACGGTGACACAAGGCTATGCCAATCATTAATTAAGCAAATCCAAACTCCAACATGCTTTATTGTTCTTTACCGGGGCTTTGTTTGCAGGAACGTATCTCGGATATCCGCTTGATACCCATCACATGACCTGACCCAAGAAACAACCTCCGCAACCTGAACCCCAGTGATGGCGACCAGGAAATGCATGCAGGGCGTACATCAGGGCCCCTCTCAAGCACTGGGAAACATTTTGCCGTTTGTCGCTTGCAGGGCAAGCAATTGAGCAAGCTGGACGCATCTCAGGAACTTGGGAAAATGCCCACAAGAAATATGATTGTCGCACACTGCCTCTGCATTTTAAAGGTGGCAAACACAAACCACAATCATAGACTCGCATAAAAACATAGTCAATCCATATAGGGGTGTACGAAACTCCCCCTTTGCATGGCAAACCGAAAGGGACACCGAAGGCAACCGTTCTTTTTCCAGGGGCTCACTGTTCAAGAATACCCGTATTCTGAGCTCCCGCATCTTCGAGTGAAGCACTGTGTAACTCAGGCCCGCACCCTGTAGGTGTACCTCAGGTGCCGACTGAATCGATCAGCGACGCCACGCTGGTTTCTCACCAGTCGCCTCCTTCTGCAGTTTGCCTCTCTTTGGGGGAAGGTGTGTAGGCACGTGTAAGGCATCGCCAGGCAATTTGATCAGGGACATCCAACTCCAAGTGAAAACTAATAAGATTGATGCGCTGTTCAGGGTGCCTGTCTCTGCAAGTTGCTGTGAGGGGCACGCGGACACACTCAGACACTAGCTGCAATGCAAAATGCCTTTCTGGGTGCTAAACAGTGGGTCTGGGACAATTACACACTCTCGCATCACCTTTGGCCTTTGAGGGAGCTTAGACATTTTCTGTCTATACAGCACCTGGCCGGCAAGCATGCAGTCAAAGGCCTGCGGCCAAGGCGTGACCCGCCAAACAAACTTGAAAGGGTGGCCCGATGTTTTTGGGAATGTGAGTGAGCCCCCCCCCATGTCCCTCCGAAATGAACCATAGACGAATAGAGACTTTGAGCGAACTTCGCATCGTTGGCAAACGTGCTGGAGCAGCCAGACCTTTTGGAAACATAGCTGAGAGGGGCGACTAATATCAACCTGCACGACTGAAAGAACCCAGTTTGCAACCAACAGTGTAGGGGAAACAGGCAGGGGCACAGTGGGGGCTGTTCAGGAGGCCGATAACAAGGGAGGAGGGTGGAGCTCACACCATGAAGGGTGCACGAGCAGGCCACGTGTGCCGTGGCACCGCACCAGAAGGTTGCGTGTTGGAGCCATCTCCCGGCCCGGATGACATCAAGAAGGCGCATGCCACGCATGAAGCTTCTCGTTCAGTGGACAGGGGGAACAGAAATGCCTGCCTTCCAAATCGAAATCTAACTTTTTATATGGCCTCAGCTTGAGACGGGCAGTGAAACAAAGACTTGAAGAAAAATGTCTCATCATGTAAGGTCCGGTCAACCCTAAGGGTATCTTTCCTGGTGGAATAGATCTCATGCCTTCAGCTTCCTGGCAGCTGGACAATTACCAAGGGAATTCCAAGGTATCCCTTCCTCAATTCTTGGTTGCTGTTGACCCCCCCTGCAAGAAGTTTAACTGTTTGGGGTGCCAAATTTCATGGGTCAGGTCAGTTCGTTCGGGATTTGGGTGTTTTAAGGTCCTAAAAAAGAATAAGGTTTTTTTACTCAAACTTAAGGGTTTGCCAAAACCAAAAAAAAGAAAAGCCCAGATTTTGCAGCAAATCTCAAAGTGTACTATTGATGCCAAATTCCTCGAAACAAGAATCAATTTGCTTGCTTCCCAGGGGACCGCGCCGCTTCTGCGCGCTAAGCCTTAGGGGTAAGACAGCTTGACGCGCCTGCTGAAAGGGGTTTGGGGTCATCTAAACAGAAATGAGTCTTGGCCGCCAAGAGGAAAGGGCTTGAACTGTTCTTTGGGAATAACTTCACTATGAAACCGCCTCTTCTGTACGAGCAAAATGCGTTGTGTTGGAGCCCAAATTCTGCTCGTGTTTTGGCAGATTGGGCTTGCGTTTGCGGCAATTGCGAGTTTTCACAAAGAAAGCAGTGATCTACAACAAATCCTGCATGGGCACATTTTTTAGGATTTTGGCCACACACTACATAATGCGGAGCAGAACGTGTTTTTCTTGGTAGGCGTTTCTCAGAGGGTCAGGTTTTCCGTGAACCAACTCCGAACAAACTCCGAACAAACTCCGAACAAACTCCGAGCGAACTCCGAACTCCGAGCGAACTCCGAATGAACTCCGAACAAACTCCGAGCAAACTCCGGACAAACTCCGAACGAACTCCGAACGAACTCCGGGCGAGCTCGGAACAAACTCCGAACAAGCGAACAAGCTCCGAGCAAGCTTTGTCATTGGTGGATTTCCGAACAAACCCCCGAGCCAACTCCGAACACACTTTGGCCATAAGCATGTTTTTGAGCCTAAGTATTTTGGTGGTCAAACTGTTTTTGTTGCCTTTTTTCGGGCTTACCAAAAGAGGCCAAGTGATTACAGGGGCCAGTTTCAACAAGTGGCCTGGGAAGGCGTTCAGGGCCGGATTTGTAGGACTTCAGAGCTGCGGAGGGCTAAAATCGCTACCGGGGTGATCACGCAGCTTGGTTGACGCTGAGGCTCGCTGTTGAAGCTGAAACAAAGCTTAATCTTTTTGATCAAGGCTTAATCCGGGAACAACATATTATTCCAAAAAAAGAGAGCTTAAGTTCAACACCGGTGTTGAACTTAAGGGTTTGCCCGATTTGTGTAATGGCTTGCCCGATTTTGGTCGTATGAAATAGGTGTTTTCTTGCATGAAAAGCCTGGATTAAGCACGTTTCAATGTTTTTTTGTTGCCCTGGTAACACTAAATTTGTACGAAAATCGCATCAACAAGCTGTAATTCCAGTGTTTTTGTACGACCAACACCCAAAAAGTTCAACACCGAACACAAAATAAGCTCCAAAAAAAAACTTAAGGCAAAAGTTCGTTCGGAGTTCGTTCGGAGTTCGTCCGGGGAAAGAATTAAGCCCCGAAAAAGAATAATAAGCAAAAATCACAGCCTGACAAAGAAAACTAGCAATAAAACAAGACAAAGCCGAAAAACTGAAACTTAAGGCCGAAACACAAAAATCAGCTCCCCCAAAGAAAAATATGGCCAAAGTTTGTTTGGCGCTTGTCCGGGAAGTAAATCCAGCCCGAAACATACATAACAGGAAAACCAAGTGACCGAAAGAACTAATTTCAACAAGTGGCCTGAGAACATGTTTGTTTGCCTCAAAGAACACCTTCCCAGGCCACTTGTTGAAAGTGGCCCTGTAATCACTTGGCCTCTTTTGGTAAGCCCGAAAAAGCAAAAAAAACAGCTTGGCCACTAAAATACTTGGGCTCAAAAACATACTTATGGCCAAAGTGTGTTCGGAGTTGGCTCGGGAACAATGCCAAAGTTCGCTCGGAGCTTGTTCGCTTGTTCGGAGTTTGTTCCGAGTTCGCCCGGAGTTCGTTCGGAGTTTGTTCGGAGTTTGTCCTGAGTTCGTTCGGAGTTCGTTCGGAGTTCGTTCGGAGTTCGTTCGGAGTTCGTGCGGAGTTTGTTCGGAGTTCGTTCGGAGTTTGTTCGTTCGGAGCTTGTTCGGAGTTGGTTCACGGGGAACCTGGGGCCTCTGAGAAACGCCTACTAAGAAAAACACGTTCTGCTCCGCATTATGTAGTGTGTGGCCAAAATCCTAAAAAATGTGCCCATGCAGGATTTGTTGCAGATCACTGCTTTCTTTGTGAAAACTCGCAATTGCCGCAAACGCAAGCCCAATCTGCCAAAATACGAGCAGAATTTGGGCTCCAACACAACGCATTTTGCTCGTACAGAAGAGGCGGTTTCATAGTTAAGTTTTTCCCGGAAAGCAGTTCAAGCCCTTTCCTCTTGTCGGCCAAGACTCATTTCTGCTTAGATGACCCCAAACCCCTTTCAGCATGCGCATCAAGCTGCCTTACCCTTAAGTTTTTTTTGTTGAACCGAATTCCCCACGCAAATTGGCAGTTTGGGGGGGTTAGTGGCAAACCCCTTGATTTCCTTTAAAAAAGTTAAAGTCTAAAGATCCAACCCCTGTAGCAGTCAAGAATTCCAATTTGGGGTCCTTAAGCTCCGGCCCCAGCTCTCTACGAGTTGCGCCAACTGCAGAGTGTCCGACTGCATGCTGTGCAAGACCTCCTTGGGCAGCAGGCTATTCCTGAGATCCGATCCGACATGTCCGCTGCAAGAACGTGATCGGACGGAGATCGGAGTACAAGCCTCACAAAGCAAAACGCGGCCTTAAGAGACGCTTTGGAAGGTCCAGCTGGAAATCAATACTGTGAATATTTTGTTTTTAAACACCAACAATTGATGCCTGGGTTCACCACAAATGACCCGGCCTCTAAGTGGGTTGTTTGTCCAAGATACTTTCCTGACAGCACAGGCCACGTTAAGAATCAGCCCTTTGCCGATTGTGGTTGGTGCACGCACCTGATCACAACAAAAGCACTGGAACACCAAGCCAGTGCTGACTCACAAACACAACTTGATAGCAACACGGCCTTCTTCGTTCTCACGTAGGCACTTGCCTGGGCCCAAAACGCTCGGGGCCCCCACAATGGGAACCCAGTTTTCAAAGTCATCCGAGTCAAAAGCCGGCGCCGGAACCCCCCTGGCTATGGGAGACAAGTTTGCCCTCTGAACCAGCAGCTGAGCACTCGGGTCAAATAAAGGTTTAGGGTTTAGGGCTTCGGGTTTAGGGTGAAGTTTAGGGTTTAACCGTGTCTTGAAAGGAGGCCTGCCATGAGTCTCGATGTACTTTCCCCGATTGCCATGCAGAAGTTGAGCGGCTATCAAGGCCATGCCAAATAAAATTGTGGATTATCTCTGGGTTGCCAATCCAGCATAGGAACCCTAGCGAGCCTACCAATCCGAACCAAACCAGACCATCTCGGTCCTCAACTCCATGATGAAAGCCGAGCTGATGCACACAGCACATTCAACTGGCAGAAGCAACCTATGAACTTGCAACTATTCCGGTTCACAGTTACTATGCCGTCCATCTTAACTCCCAAAGGATTCGGGCCCGTCTGTGGAAACGTTCAGCGGCGGACTGAATTCAAAACCATGGCCGAGGCGCAGAAGGGAGTGGCACTCCTTATGCTCCTGCGTTGTGTGAGTGGTTGCACATGTGGGTCTCACCAATTGGAGGCTTTTCGGGTCAGCTTCCTTTTGCATTCGATTCAATCAACGCAGAAGGGGATGCCCATTTCGACACACACCAGTTGTGGTGGTCACAAATCCTGCTGCACATGTTCATGTTCTTGATGCCCAATCAAGAATTATGCATGGTTGGAGGTGACATCTGCTTGCTTAAATCAGCCTGCAAAGGGGAAACTATTTGGATAATTATATTATGGACCCGGGAGGGGGGGGGGTCAGGCAAACTGTCCGAAGATTGGGTAGACAAACAAGCAGGGATTAGGGAGGTTGACCTGTTTCAGTGCCGAACAAGAGCCTCTCAACAACTGAGACACACATCATGGAGCGAGCATTTGAGACCTTGCTCAGAGGTGCCTTAGCGGCGTACGCACGACTAGACCAAACACAAATGCTGTCCCCTGCACGAGTCAACAAAAACGCATGTCATGCACACTTGCTCGGCCTTGCCATCCTGCCATCTGGTTCTGGCTTGCATGTGTCATTCAGCAGAAGCGCGTGGTTGTGATAAAATCATTCTGGGCGCGCTCAAAGCTCCTGAGGGAACATTACAGTGCTAGCGCTTAGTTGCACAAGTGCAAGAATAACGGTTCGTATTGCTCAGTTTTCCCCCTTTCTGTATTGCACGCTCCAGCCACTGCACACCGGGTCCTTCTCAACCAGGTTCAAGTCGTCCAAGCTTTTGAGCTGGTAGCGCTTCAAGCTTTGCACGATCCGTACCTGCAAGAGGTACCTGGCAGGCTCTGAGCATCCCCAGAAGCAGCCTGTCCACCGGAACCAAAGTGCCTCAAGCTCCTTGAGGTTTCATGACTGGGGGACAACACAACTACCTGCGTCTGTTCGCACCTGCGATTTCATTGCGGGATGCCCCCTGTACAAATTCAAGCGTGCCGTGGGATGCCTTCATAGATCACGAAGGAACCCCAAAAAATAGAACCTTTGCATGAAATATTGTTTTCCGCCTGTCACACATGGAATGCTGGTGGTTTGTTCCGGCACCCTTCCCACCCTGGACTAGGTGGTGTAACGCTACGAGCTCATCTCTCACCGTGCATCGCCGAGCTGCACAGTGACAGGGTAGATGGCACCCGCCGGCCAGTCTGCGAATACGCCCAGCGCCGTCGCAGGAAGGACCATCAAAAAGCCGCAGAGGAATGCGCCGATACTGGCCCGGATCACGTTCCTGAAATGGTGAGTCAAGTGAAACAGACCATGAGGGGAGTAGAAGAAAAGGTCCCTAATGCTGAGACTCCAAGAAGTCTGGCTTCTTTCCAGTCTGTGCCTCCTTCTTCCTCATTACCATTTCGGGGATATGTACCAGCTTGGCCTGCACGCGGCCGAGGCGCAAATGCATCATGGCGCTGATGTAAAACACGGACTCATAGTACACCCAGTGCGCCACTTCCTGCAATGCGTGACTCGATGGCTAGGAGAAATGCACCACTTCTTGGACTCCATTCCAGCTTCAGCGCGGAACCCAAACACAGAACAACAAGGGCACAAATGCGAAACTCGCTGGAGACCTGGGCCTTCATTTCAACATCAATCAGTGCGGGCCCGGGGCTTTGAAAGATCCACATCCAGCTGTTTGCACGCGCTGTGCAAAGAAATGCCCCCAGAAGACTGGTCCAAAGCTCACATGCGCTGTCGGTGTTCACATGGCCGGGGGACAGAGTACAAGGGGGACTTGAAGGAATTGAACGTCCTGTCGGACTATAATTAAAACAACGGTTCGTAACTCACAACCTTATTGCACGAGTCATCTAGTTCAAAGAAAATGCTCTCCTCATTCATTAGTGGGAAAACTTCTCAGCAACTTAACGTTATTCGTTCCACTATGAACTCGCATAGGCTTGCCTATTTCTAGAAACGATCGTTTTGCCAAACATATGTTTTACCGTAGTCGATGCTCCCACTAACTGGAATATGAACCAGTTTCCCTGGTTTCTTTTTAGTATTCTTCATGTTTTCTGTAAGCTTTTCGCTTTTCTCATGTCTTGCTTTGTTCTTTGAGTTGATAGAGCAGTCGCACACATGCAGAATGTAAGCTGTTCCACTCCCGAATCCTCACGTATTTCCTCTTTCTATACTCGGCTTACTTCCATCCCCGATTCGCTCCGCGCGCATTCTTCCTCACGGGCTTCAGAACACTTACTTCTAGGACCTAAACACCGATTACAGTTCTTGCGCTCAAGCCATACAAACTGGTTCTGGGTCAAACATAGGTACCCAAAATGGGTTGCCCTGGTAAATGAAACTCAAGACTAAAACCCGCGGTCCAATTCCTGCTGGCTTCATTTTGACCCACACCCAACTCAAAGGCAAAGCCCCGAGCCTCAACGCCGTTTTGCGCCAAGCCGTATCGCGCAGAGACGACCGCGCAGGTGTAGCCCGAGGAAACCACCACGATGGGCACCACGTAGACCAGCCATTGTCTGATCCTAGAGCACCCCACATCATCCCACAAACCCCAAACCCCGTGGCGCCGTGATTCGTTTTAGGTTGCAACTAAAGATACCATTTGCGGTTGATATTTGTATGCGTTGTATTGTTGTTTTATCATTTGGGGGATTTGGCGCTCACCATTTTCGGGTTCCATGTGAATTTGCAGAGAATTGGGTTGGATAACCCACTTGGGTTCCATGGGTTCCGGAAGAACCTGAAGGATACATCCCAAAACGTGTCAGGGGGATCCTTCAAATCAGCTGGAATGTATGTCTTTGGAGTGGCGCAAAAGCATCAAGGGATCTGACTAAGTTGCAACAATTCAACATGTTCACTTGGCACCCAGCAAAATGCGTTGATCAAGAAGGGTTGGGCGATTGAGCCCCCTGCTCAGACTTGTTCGAACCACTGTGTCAAAAGCCTGTTTGCTTCCCTTCAAAGAGGACCAATTCAAACAAATTATTCCAAACTCAGGTGGTCCCAGAAAGTTCATTCCTGGAAACCAAATGCTGGCAACGGCACACCCCTAGCATTTGTGCCAGCAATTGATTTGCAAAGGCATGCAAGCAACTGTTGATTAGTCTGCATCCAGTATAGACATTGAGTCTCTCTAGTTGCATCTTGCGGGTTCGAGGCCGTTTTCTGGCTAGAAATCAAGGGCACCCTGCAGGCCTTAGACGTGTGTGGGTCCTCTACTCCCTACCAAGGAAGCAAAGCCGCTCGGCAAACAAATGCACATGCCAAGGAGCCGCAAACACACGTTCCTGAGCCGGGCATGAGCGCTAAGCAAACAAGCCCACGAGAAGTCTTCGGCATAATTCTAACCCCTCGGCACAGCAAATTAGATAGCAACAAGGCAACACGAACACCATGCCGATTTGCAAGCTGCCAGCAATAAGAACATGCCGTGAATGATCAAAGTTTTCTGGTATCTTCCCCAACCAGTGATCCTTCTTTCCAGGGCGGACTCGAAATCCGAGGAATCATCGGTTTTGTTGACCATAAAAGTGGTTGCACAGAACGTATATGAACGTATCAACCTAGACCATTCAGCAGAAAATACTCCCCTGTAACCAGAGGACATAAACTCGTTGATAAGGTTGCATGTTTCTTTTAGTGAGGCCACTATACTTCGCTCGGCACGACATTCTCTGAAACAAAGCTTGAACTTTGTGGTCACTACTTCGGGTTAAAGTAGTCTTTCCGAGGTTCCCCCACCGTCCCCACCTTTAAACGCTTGGCTTTGGAGCGAGCTTAGGTCCTCATGGAAGTCCCTCCCATTCAAGATCAAGTTGTCCAAAGACAATGCACAAACGTGAAGGCATTGCAAGCGTAGTCTGATTTACCCGACTAGGGCTTGGAATATTGGCTAGATTCTTACACCCAACCGAGCGGATGCACATTGCCTGAAATCCCCCATCTCCCCGTGACGAACGGAAGACGCACCTTGGTTCAGTGTGCCAGAAAACGCGCGGCAATGTACATCACAGTTTGGCTGCACTTGGTTGATTGAGTGCTCATTGGGTGGAGTTGTTGACACCATGTTAGCTCTACAGCTAAACATATCTCTTCAGCCTTTGAGCTTTGGTTCGGCCAGTAATCAGCGGTTCAGAGTGTTTACGGCTATGGACCCCGTCTTGAAAAAACTCGCTTCCAACAAATCTGACTCTGAATGTTTCTAGGACGCGGCGACTTAGTCGCAGAGCTCAAGCGTGAACATTGTGTGGGACATGCCGCAAAATGCAAAAGACGGCCTAAGCAGCACGCGACTAAGCCTCTTGTAGGCTGTCCCGAACCCAATATGGAATAAGGCAACCCGGCGCTTGTGACAAAGCTGTGGCTTCAGGGACAAAGGAAAACAATGTCGATCTAGGAACACCTACACAGAGTCATTCCTTCCGCACGTGCGGGCGTTGACGCTCTCAATTTTGTGCCTACCACACTCAATTGGACCGACACCTCTGGTCAACATTCGAGTCCAGTTCGGGACTTGCTCTGGAAAAATCAACAGGTCCGGTCCCACAAAATGATTGGATCAAAACGCACGCCGGTGGAATCCATCGGTATGTCGACCAGTGGATTTGTCCAATGGACAACGGAACAACTTGCTCTCTCTCCCTCTATCTTTCTGTCTCTCTCTCTTCCTCTGGAGGGAGTAAGGCGATTGGGAATGAACGGAAGAGAATCCCGAAGAAAACCCACCAGTTGGATGGTTCAGTTCGGCGGTTATTCGCTGCCTACCGATACAGCAACACATCAGCAACACAAAGGCTGTCTTACCCTCTCTTTCGACATGGGCCAGCCCAGGTAATTGCCCCAGTTAATTCCCAAGTGATATGGTACCTACCCGGTCTAATGCGGGCTCTCACCCTCAAACAGTCAGAGAAGTCAGAACAATGGATTTACTGTGATTCCTTGGGTGGCACATGATGTGTTCCTTGGGTAAGACCGGCAAAGATCAGCAAAAGCTCGTCTGGCGCTTGTGTTGAATCTCCTCCTCCTCCTCGGTGATTCCCTCCTCCTCGAGTTTGCTTCACTTTCAAACGAGGGCTCCTGAACTAGTACATGACGTTCCTTTGTCGACCAAGGAGAACCGGGGGGAATGCATCAATAAGGGCCTGGATGGATCTGGATTGGGACCCTCCCTGTGCAGTACTTTGGGGATGGGGATATCATAACCGATGCCCTTCCATCATGCTTCAGCGCACCCGGTTTGGAATAGCACACCTTTCCATGTTTAATGCGGAGCAGGCCCAAGAAACTGGTCCATACGAGGTTGCCAACGCCATGTTGTCTTTGGTTTTTTAACAGTTCCCAACCGTCACAAGGAGAACTAGGGGTATCTTATTTATTTGTTGCACGGCATACCGCGGCCAAAGACTGACTCAGTGACTCGGCGCTCCTGTTCGGCGCTCTTGTTGATCGTCTCGGCGCTCTTATTGATCGTCGCAGCGTGCGCTGCAGGTCTACTGCCAGTGGAAGATGTGTCCGAGGCGCGTGGCTCATGACTAAGGAAAGCACCCAAAAATCAAGAGGATTTAGTTGATGGGTGATGTTTTCTCGTCTTTTAGGGTAAAGGTGTTTATACTTGGCCCAGTTCTGTGACCATGCGAACACTTAGATTTGTCTCCATAAGGGGAGCCCCGAACTGCCTATAGGAATTCTTGCACAAAGACCTTGCATATCCTTGCATTTACGGGTCTGTTCATCCAGGCATCACACTTACGACCCTGATGCGAATCCATGCCCAGCCCGCCTGTCTGAAGCAATCTCAGAAAGCCTGAGAGCCGCCGCGGACATGTTTGATGCCCAACCCCCCCGAAAAACACCAAGCCAGAAAGCAAGTATGATAAATATCAAGGTCCAAATCACTCGCGTCAGGTCCAGGCAGTGTGGTTTTTAAGAGCTCGCGGAGCTTTACAGCATGGCCTTTCACAAGCATGCGAAATGAGAAACTCGTGAAAGCTTGGAACCGCAGCATATTTAGCTCGGGTCCATAACAGTGACATTCAATGGTAGTAAACATGAGGTAACTTTGAACACTTGCCTTGCATGTTCAATTCAACGTGCACTTGGGGCCAAGTATGTCCAACTGCTACATGCTTGAAGGACAAGCACTGTTGACCTTTTTGAGGTTTCCCTTGTTGGGGGATACGCGTCACAAAGCCGCTCCATGCAACAAGTCCAACACCGGTGTCCAAACCCATTTTGTTCACACTGGAGTGCATCGGCAGGTGCCAAATGAGCCAAATGCCACTGTGCGACATAAGTATCATAAGCCTTGAAACCTGAATGAAGGACTTCCAACCACAAACGGGCAACTAGCAACGGGCAGTCCGCATGCGGATCGTTCCCTTGCGCGCGCTCCCCACTCTTCCCGCCCGCGACGGACAACGTGCTTTGCCAAGTGACGAGTCGGCAGAGGACTTCGCCGTGAGCACCGGCTTCTGCCAAGGAACATCATAAAATATGTGCCCCCATCTGCGGCTTCTTTTCCGGTAGACCATGTCCATTTTGATATAAAGTATGGGTTGTTCGGCACCCATGTCCTAAAATCACAGGGGTTGTTTCCCCCCGTCTGTGGAGAAACATAGATGCGTCCGGTATGATGAGGGTATTTCTGGCACAACTACCTCAGCTGTTGCCCCTCCAACCGAAAGCAATTTTTGGGGGCCATATTTCGCGAACCTTGACGGCAAACGGAAATGGCAGCAAACCAACGTTGACCTTTGCGGTTTCCTCAAAGGCATGGAACATGACCAAGCCAACCAAGCCAACCAAGCCAAGGCATAACCCGAGCCCAACTAGGCAACTAACTCAATTCACGCCTGCCACAGGGGCCCAGGCCCGACCAAACCGTCGCTCGCCTTTTCCTCCGAAGGGTTGGCGAAGCGCAGCAGCGAGAGCGCAGCCCCGAAGAGGACCAGCACCCCGAGGCAGACCAAGGCGAAGCCGCCGCGGATGTGCAGGAAGAGGTCCATGTCTCGCAGGAACGGTTCTCATAGGGAACCCCGAAGATGGGTGATGTCCCCTTTGCTTTTCCCTTCAAACCCCCAGCGAGGGTACCCCGAATAGTCAGCTTCCCTCACCAAGAGGGAAGCTGATGAATTGGTGGTTTGGAGGATAGAAAGTGGCTTGGGTTGCCTGATCTAACTCACATCTTGAGAAATCTCGCTCATTTCCTGGGACATCTCCAAACGCGTGCGAACCGTGCCTGTTGGTTGAGTATGCTATATGGTTGTTCCCTGCTCCAATGGGTATGCATCAGGTATGCAACGAGAGGGCATGCAACCAGAACCAGTGAGGCAGTGTTGTTCATATTATTTGATGGGGTAGGTAACGAATGTCTGCGGTGGCTCCCTCAAAAAAAAAAAAACGTGGATCCGGTTGGATCGCGGTCGGATCTGGTTCATTCAGCCAAACCTGAGTCACTCATTCACGTAAGGCCGGTGCCCCGTGGGAGGTAGGCCAGTGGCGGCACGTCCCCGAAAAATCTGTCTGACCATGGAGAGCTCCAGTATGTTTTCTTTGCTACGAACAGTCTTGGTTGCTCTTGACCCCCCTGCAAAAAGCTTAACTTTTTGGGGGTTTAGTCGCAAACACCTTTATTTCCCAAGAAGTTAATGTCTAAAGATCCAACCCAATAGCAGTCAAGCAGTGATCCTAAAAGTCCGTCTGGGTTGGTTCAAAGGCAAAGCACGCGGAGGTCCCAGCTTGAGACACACTTAAGACAAACGAATCCCAACCGGCAGCTCCTGTGGATTTCAGAACACTGCTGAGGAGCTGAGAATGATCCTTCCAACCACAGTTTTCACACCTAGCCCTCCTTGGTGCATTGATGGAAACTTCAAGGGGCCAACTTTGTTGCCATCGTGAGCTGGGGAGACCGTTGCAAACGAACAATGCCCACGGCTTCAAAACGCAAGAACATCGGGCGGATGATCGCCGCCTTTAAAACACCCAAAAACCGAATATGCTTCCTGCTCCTTTCTGGCCATCGGAACCCCTTCTTGGAAGACCATGTGTTCGCACCATTTTTGAATGAATGCCTGTAAGGGACTTTCCGTTTTAAGTTTGAGTGTGCTGCTAAATGAGCAAATGTGCTTCTGCGTCACGAATTCTGCTTTGCTTGGGAAGGTCGTTCGAATGTTCCAGCAATGTCACTCTCTGGCTTCGGCAATCAAAGACTGGGGCACAAGCGGACAAGCTTCAAATCAGATGTGGCACGGGCTCCTTTCACCAACCGGTCCCCATAACTTTAGGTGTTGGGTGCAACGATCTCTTTGCACACTACCGCCAGGAATGATAGGTGATTTATTGCTGAGAGACTCATGAGGGAGCAAACCCAAGAGGGAAACCAAAGCAGCCCATAACTACTTACTGCATGCAGCATCCCGGCTCGCCGCAAGAAACAACTGGCTCCGCATCATTGAAACAGTCTAAGCTCGGCGGTGGTGAAAACGCAGCTCAACATCATTCACAAGCTTGAAATGTCCAGGGCGAAGCTCTCACTCTCTCTCCCTCTCTCGCTCTCTCTCTCTCTCTCTCTCTGTCTCACTCTCTCTCGCTCTCTCTCTCTGTCTCACTCTCTCTCGCTCTCTCCCCAGGCACGCGCAGCCTACTTAGCATCGCAGCGTGCTTACAAACGGCTGGGCAAACGGATGATGCGGGAATCGCTCGGATACAAATTTGGGGCCAGTTGCGGATGCAGACAGTGCTGGATGCATGCTGTCCTGGCTGGGGGGCTGCGCGGGGCTCGGCAAGGAACCAGACCAAGCTCTCAAGTCGCATAACAATGCTTCCGGCGAATTCCATTCGAAGACGGCTTGGAAGCTGGGGCACGGTGGGGCAGGGCGACTCTGGGGCCCTAGGCGCAGCTTTTTGTGCCGCACAGCCAGCGCAGCGGGGTCCCGGGCGCAGCCCTTGAAGAAGACCAACTGCTGACAATTCTTGAAATCCAGAGAAACAAAAACATGAGGGCATCCTGCGGCCGCTTCCCTGCGGGATTATGTTTGCTCTACCTGTTTTTGGGCGGATCCAAGTACCATCCAAGTCGTCAAAGACAACCCGCCTGGCAGACCTGGGCTAGACCCTTGGTCAAAAGCCTTGTCTGTCTAAGCTCCTTGTGGCCTCCCTTTTAAGGGGGCAGGGCCTGGTGGTTGACACTATGATTGCACAAGCCTGGTTGCTTCGCCTTCCTATTTCCGATTTGCCCCCACCAGTGACTCCGCCTGATGCATTCTGCCCCGTGTCCCCGTGGATGATGAACCAACTCCTGACGCGCACTCACGCAAACACGGCAAAGGTGAGGCGACAGCAAAAAGCAAGAGGAGTTTTCAGCACTCCCCGAAACAACAAAAACAAGTGGGAAATGCGGCTGATGTGGCTAGGGAATTTGCTTCATTCGTGTTTTCCGGTTTTTTGCTGACCAAAGTGCCCCTTTGAGGCGCAGTTGTGCTTGCAAGCAAATCAATCGGATTGGAAACACCTGGTGAAACAATCCAAAATCCCACAAACACTTGTACAGGTCACCCGGGTTCCTAGCTTGAGGAACTATCCATATAGTTCGAAAGCTCTTCACAACCCTGCAACTTGCCATTGCCCCCACTTTCCATGTCCCACATTGCAAGCGCTCACGCCGCTACATGCGTCGCTGAGGATTGCACAGGCATGGATGTCCCAACCGAACAAGGTGTCAAACTGGTCAAGTTCCAATCCATGAAAAGAACCTCCTTTAAAACCTTGGGTTTCCATATTCAGCCGGTCCATTTGCAGCCGAGTTGTCCCACTGAATGATTCTCAAAACAGGGTCCCCTAAAATGCCTGGTGTCCTCCTTTCCCTTCTACCAGCCAAAAGGATCGGATTCATCCCATCTCCCTCCGGGCGGAAATCGGTGAAGTCGACGCTGGGGCTCCGGGCTCCATTCCAAAGCACAGCCAAAAGAGCAGCAACGAGCCCAGCATCGAGCCACCCTGTTGGGTCCTTCCGGAGTCCTCAGGTCGACCCATCAGCGCCTTTTTGAGGGCCCCAGGCCCGGGCTTAGCCAATTGCGCCACGGAGGCCTAAGGGGCCCCTGACAACCGTGGGACTTGTTTGGCGACAAAAGGAGGGTGGATCGGCTTCTGGGGAGTTGACTACCATGATTGCCGTGTGGGAAAGCTTGATCGACTCACCAGAGCGGCAGAAAATATTTGGAGCCATGTTTTGTGGGCTTGACCATGTTTCGTGGAACCCGCCAAAAGAACAAAAATGGAACAATGGTGCCAATGAACAACAGGAATGATGGTGAATCACCCTTAGGCTGGTCCGCCTGTTGCAGCATCTTTGCCCACCATTGTTTAAGAAGCGTCATCGTCTGCCGTGCAGTGCTGGTGGCAGTTGCCACTTGGAACGCATGGAAGCACAAAGCGCTGACTTGTGCCAAGTGGTAAACAGGCTTCCTGCGCGAAAGACTTTACAGCTTGGCTTGTGGCTAGTGGACAAAGAAGGAGTTTACAAAACAAGATCAAAACCCTGAAACCCAACCAAATAGCAGTCAAGAACTCTTGGAATGACACGGAGGAGGGTCCAACCGTCCAAGTCGAGAACACGCCAAAAAGCCTGAGTATTGCCCACCAAGCCCAAAACGAGTGTTTGTGTTTCTGCTCACAAGAAATCTGCATACACGTGATTGTTACAGGTTGGCCCCACGCTAAACACCCACCAAAACGGGATGCGAGTCAAAAAACCGGCGCTGCCCACAGAGTCAAGCTGCAAGCTCATAGACTTTGACACAGAAGTGCCAGCCGTCAGAAATCGCCTGCGCGATTTCACGCGGTGAAAGTCCGCCAGCGAACGGCTGTCAGCCAAAGAACAACACGCACCCCGTGGGAATCCATGAGCAACAAACCCCTTGATTCATGGAGGAGCGGTCCCTTTCCTTGGCAGTCCCGCAATCAGGAACACCCCCTGGATTCAAATCCGCCAGACTGATTACGGGCTCAACATTTTCCTGTGCGCCAAGGTGGCAAGGGGGGAAAAGTAAAATGATCATCCGTTCAATCCTCAGCCGCAACTCACACTGAACTCCACAAACGCTTGTTACTGCGGAGCTGTTGTGGGCCCTTTCTGCATGTTTGGGCGTGCAACGAGCTAGGTCAGAATTGGCCAACACATCTCCAACTCCCAATTCATTCATCAGGGTTACATCCGACATGTTTCTATCAAGCTTCTCTGAAAGCCTGGCGGATTTCCCAAGCAATTTCTTCGGCTGGGCCATAAGTGACACACAAACACCTGGTCTTTCTGCCCAGGCCGATTCCCTTGGGCCGTCCCTTCGTCCGTGCCTTGGGGAGGTTCGACAGCCGAAGCTGTGGGCATGCGTGCCAGGTGGTTTCCTCCGTGGAGGGCACGACCTGAGCTTCCAGCGACTCTTTGGGCTCTTTGGGGGTTTGACTCAATTCGACGACCGCGTTACATGAAAGGCCAACCTGCGCCTTTGCAGGATGGATGGGAACCTGACATAAAGAAGGATGGGCCGCATTTGCCACTTGTCAATAGCTTCCACTGGCACATCGTTTGAGGCAATGGTGAGTGGTCGTCAAACATGGTCCCCCAAAAGGGCTGTAGTTTGCGAAATAGGTGGCGATGCGTCACACATTGACTTAGCACACACGATAAAACAACAAACGTTGACGCAACCCCTGCTTGTGAGGGAATGGCTCCACTTGCCCAACACCGACTCATTGTTCCTATGGTTGTCTGCCTAAAATGACTTGCATCTTTTACTTGGAGATAGCACGGAAAAGCAAACACGTGGATCAACTGGCTGGACAAACATCAAGTTCATGCAGCTTTGTTTAGCTGCTTGTTGCGAAGGCACCGCCAGGAAGTGACTGCATCAAAGGTTGGCCATGTTGCATGCTCAAAGTCATAAAGCACATGCATGTTCATGAACAAACACATGGCAGATCACAACAAATGCGTTGAAACCGACAGTCAAACAAACTGCCCTTCACTGTGGACATGTTCACAGTTGTGCTGAGAGGTTTCAAAATGGGATTCATCAACAGGGGTCCCTAAAATATTGGCGCGGGCCGTTTGGTTGAACGGGATAACACCAGCACACAAGGGGTCAGGAGTGGTCATGCCATCTGTAGTGGGAACTCAATATTCAGAAACCCCTGGTTGATTAAGTACGGGGTGTCCCATTTCAGAGGAAACCCTCACTTCTGGCGGGAGCACCCAGGCAAATTGCCCCAAAGTCCCGAGAGCTTGCGCACCGAGCTGGCGCAAAGAGCACCATCTTCACCAGGATTCCCCACACACACACATCAAGTTCAAACAGCATGCAGGGGGACAGTTCTAGAGTGGCTTCTGAAAACACGGAACTATCTTGTCAGTCCTGGGCTGGACTTTGTCACCTCAAATCACTCCAGCAGCACACAAGTGATTTCAACCTCATGCCAGCATTTCGACCTGCAGGGCACCTTAGGAACACAAAGCATGTTGACCTCTGACTGCGAGTCCCTTGTTGAAGGGGCTGATGTCAAAAGGCTCGCCCAAGCACACCGAGGAAACAAAAACACACCATGTTGGAAAACATACGTAAAAACCCAAAGGGCCAGCAACATGCATCAACAATCGCGAAACCACGTCGTACAAACCATCCCCTTCCCTGCCATGCACAAAACTTGGCCCATCCTCGCGTAGCCATAGACCCCAGTCCCTAGATGCTGGCCTAACATATGGCCTACTTAGGCTCGACCCGTTTCATCTCGTCGCAAAACAAAGTCCAAGAGCACCTCCTAACTTTGAAGCCCAACCTGGTTTTGCCTGCGCTCAGTTCGGCCGAGAGTCATCAGAGGAGGCCAGCTCCAAGATTGAGCCCTCGCGGTGGGACTTTTGCCTTGCGAGCTGGTGTCATTGTTTGGGTGAGCCGTTACTGGCGCAAGCGATCGGACCCTGCTTGATTGAATTCGCTTGTAGCGTGGCCTTCATTTGGGCAGGGCTCACTGAGTTGGACGCGTGGAAACTCTGATCCGCAAAGGGCTGGTTTTGAGTTTCAACTATTCCCATGTCTCACTTTCTCTGTGGCCCCCGGCTCGAATCGAAGGTCGCGCGCGCGCTGAACTGGTTGATTCCCAAAGCAATGAAACAACATGAAACAACCAAAGATTGCTCCAAAAAACCGAGAGGACGCGTGACGCCGAGAGCCGAAAGTTTCTTTCAATAACTAAAACATTCGGCAAACCCTGGCCATCTTTTGAAACCAAGCCCAAGCAAACAAGCAACGCGGCTTGCCCGGCAATGCCCGGCCTGACGACGTGCCCATTCTCGTTTTGGCGCTTCTCCTGAGCAAGGCATGGCACGGGGCCAAGGAGGCTTGGCTACGAACTCCCCCAAAGCAATTTGCATCGCTGCAGGCTGAAAACACAACAACAAAACAACACATACAAACATTGCTGAAAAGCTTTGTATTCTGTCCAACCTGCCTGTTTGGCTGGGGCGTCTCTGACCCCAGCCATGTCTTCTGCCAAAGGCACGTTCCACAGGAGGTAGGTGGTCATGATTCCCTTGCCTGCGCCAGAGAAACTCACTTGTCCAAATGCCCGCATCCTGGAACTTGGCTTCTACAACTGGCTTCCCGCTCAAAGGGCAATTACGGAGGATTCACCGGCTGCTACGAATACAACCGTTTAGCTTTCGCCTCCAGCAAGGCCTCACGCCCAACTTCAACGTGGCAGTATCCAATATTCAGTTATTGTTGCTCGCGGAGGGCTTAAAGAAAACCAAACTGAAAGCAGCATTTTCAGGCATGCGTGTGTGTGTGTGTGTGTGTGTGTGTGTGTGTGTTTGCTAGTGCAATAAAGGCTCAGCCGCGCCCTCACTGACCGGCCTTTCGCCTCAATTTGCTGCTGGGTCCACTTGAAGCGATCGTCATCCTCCACGTAGTCCTTGGCACCGGCAGGCTGGGTGCAAAATAGGAGGGTCAGGAAAAACACACACACACACACACATCAGCTTCCCTCCCATTGGTGGTTTGGAGCCCGGTATAGCCCGGTGGTTTGGTGGTTTGGAGGTTTGGAGGTTAAGGGGTGGTTTCCCATATACCCTCGACAAGAACCAGGGATTCAAATCCCCAAACCACCAGTTAAGGGGTACCTGAGTAGAGAAATGCCCATCCCCTTCGGACAAATAGTGTGGGGCATGAGCAGACAATAGCAAACAAGAAAACTTCATGGCAATATCCGATTCACATGACATAGCGCAGCTAGCTGCCGGTGTGCACACCGCCAGGAATCAAGAAAAAAGTGATGTCGTGAGAGCAGCTCCAGATGTCCAAAAGCAAGTCTTGTAGACCGCATACAAGCACAAACAGCCAGGTTCATGCAAAAGAAGATATGACAGGCTGCAGAAGCAGGGGACATGACAAGGAACAAGCTGCATCATCCTGAGAGTCTTGTGTATGTCCAGCGTTGTCTTAGGACACTCACTGGCTCGAATCTTGACTGCCAGTGCTCCGCTTTTCAGAATTATATAGCCTGTCCAACAAGGGAAATGGAAAATCGACAGCTCCGCCTGGGGTCGGGAACGAGGCTTTCTGGAGAGACGGGCGCTTTTTTTCTGCGTCGATTCCCGGGCTTGGTGTGTGTTTTACATTCGGGGTTGGAGCCAGTACTGCAAGCAGCGCCAAACGCTATTTTCGGAAAATAACGGCTGCAAGCGAAAAGATGGTACAAGGTGATTAAGGAATCCTTTAGACCTTAGAAAAGGCCCACCAGTTTGTTGAAGTTCTGGCTAGCCAACGCGCAATTTGCATCTTCAGGTTGTCTTCAAAATGGAAACACCCGACATGCGCGCAGCTGCGACACAAGGCGCGTAGGTTTGCTTGGAGATGTGGATGTGGTTCACCTGCAGGCCAAGTTTTCTACGATTGCTTTCCGACTGCCTGACACCCAGACATGCGGGCTCCCCCGACACATAGATCTATCTCAATCGGCAAGTCAATAGCGGTTTGGAAAGGAGTTGAGCGGAAGACGACTTGTTCTGGACATGCAGGGACCTGATCGTGTCAAGCGGGTCTAATAAGACCTATCCTTCGTCAGAACAACCTGAGGCCTACATAGCAGCCTGGAGAAAAACTCTCAAACACATGGTGACTCCAAGCAAAGTGGCCAATCAGGTTGCGAAAGAAACTGTGTCAAGGCCAGACAATCCCTTTCTGGCTTGTCGGCTCCGATTGGGACCCATGGCATGTGTTGACTCCCATGTTTCCAGCGTTCCATCGCCCTGTCAGCCTCCAAGCAAAACAACCACTGGTAACGACATAGGCGCACTTTGATTACCCTACCACCTCAAGCTGTGCGCAAGAATATGAGGTCGTCACACGCAGCAGCGTACACCGCCTGACAAAAAAGCTTGGGGGAGCATTGAGAGCACAACTAGTCATGATACCTAGTTGCCTCTAGTTCAGCATTCCCTCCCCACCTCTGCGAGCAAGCAAGCACCTATTCCGACCCCGAAAGTTGACCGGCCCAAACCGGAGCATACAAAGAAAGCGAAGCGCCTTGCCGGTGCTCATCATGCGGCTCGCGGTGTTCACCGTGTCCCCGAAGAGGGCGAACTGAGGTTTCTGGGAGCCCACCACTCCACTGATGACCTCGCGCTGGGAACCAGCGGAACCCCCGCGCCCAACTCAGAGGAAGCGGCGCAAAACAATGCACCGCGAGCAGGAAGCTCAGCGAGAAAGAAGCGCGTGACAGCTCGTTCGCAACAAGGGTACCCTTCAGGTCTGGGGGTCTTGTAAATACTCAAATAAGAAAAAAGTATCCTACTAACTTACTAGCTGGATTGATAGGAAGAATTCCCCGGGCTTGGGCCTGGCCGGTGTTGATGCCGATCTTCAAGGACAGGCGCTCCATGCCGTTCATCCCCGTGGCGCACTTGGAGAACTGCCGCAGGATGGCCACGGCCACCTCCAGACCTCGGCGCCCGCGAGACTCGGGTGACGTTGGAAGGGGAGCAAACATTTGACTTTTGGCAGCCAAGTGGATTTGGATTCCAACCACTAAACCACAAGAAGCGAGAGTGTAACATGTGGCCCAACAACAGCCATGAAAATACGATTTCTCGGATTGTGCTCAAGGGAAACAACAGGGATTGAACTGCCTTGGATGGTTCGAAGGGGAAGCAATGAAAGCAACTTCAACATCCAAGAGGAATTCGACCCTTTGGGAGCCTCTAGGGCAAGAAACGCATCGGTTGCAACCAGTGAGCTGAAAGGTGGCAACAGGGAACCGTGTCGGAATTAAGAGTGCGGACTCCCCCAAGCAAGCACATGTTGAAAACGCTGTTGAATCAGCGGAACAACAGCACCCTCGTGCGAAGATGGATTTCACTGGTGCCAGTTTGGCTCCAATCATTGGCCAGTGCCATCTACTTGTCCAACTGCACTTCGGGCCACCTGTTAAAGAAATTCCATCGTGTGAGATCCCATGAGTCCTGTCAGGGAAGTCGCCAACGCAAGATCCACCAAGAAGGGCCCTCAAGACAGGCTACAAGTCGCTGTATGCTATTTCTCTTCTGGCCCAGGAGCAATCACGATTCGAAGCCCATAGGCCCAAAACGTCCGATACAGCTCCCTTGTTGCAGTCTGGGTCTATCAACTCCGTTAGATCTTCAAAATCATTGCAATTAGGGGAACCAGGGAATACCAGGAAAACCCTGGAAATTCCGGCAACTTGAATATCTCGGGATCCCTTCTTTGCCTATTTTGGTGTGCAGGCCTCCCTCACTCCCTCTGAAGCTTCAACACCCTGACAAGCCGCACTTGACCGCTTTCTTCTGCACCGAGTCCTTTCCGTTGCCGCTTCTCCCCAGCTTTCCATGCTTCTTCTTGTCCCCCGTCATCCTCGGCCGTGTGGGTGTGTGGACATAGCCCTTTGAAATAGGTAGGTGCAAAAGGCGTGACGTCTATACCCTTTTCTCGAGAAAGAGTATCCCTTTGCATGGGCAATCTGCTGAAGTCAACCGCACGAGCCACCGCCACCGTCCATAGGAAGGGCCCATGTGGAGAAACGTGACGTCACACCACGCACGAATGCTCAACTTGCGGTACCCCCAGACCTGATCTGGCATGTCACACAGCAATTTGAGAAACCCCAACATGATTTCGCGGTTCTGCTGGAAGGCTGGCATTTCGAGGCTCAAGTGCAAAGCCATGGTGCCTTCCCATGCAACCAGGAACACATCAGAAAGTTGCTTTTGGAGGATGAACTTCCATATAGGGCCCTCTGTCACCTCCCTCCCCAAGCAGCTGCTCCAAGCGTCCCTGCAGCCATGAAGGTCTTCCCAACCGTTTCGATCTTCACGACGTCGTGCTCCTCAGAAACACATTGGGGTCGCGACTCCAAGTGTGGACCGCTGAAATGGGCGCTGAGGTTAGCAAATGGTGGGATGCTCCACTCTAGTTCCCTTGCCACCCTGGTGGTTTGGAGCGAAGCGGGGCCAAAGCTGGCGGGGCACAAACCTGCAAATAACAATCCCTCACACGCGTGGTGATTTGGATTAAATGGATGTGCGCAACCAGAGTTGGCCGTGGTTTGGCCAGGTCTTGGCACCTATAGCCTGGCAAGAATACCGCTTCGCACAGGGGCGGCGGTCTAACGTGGCACAGGATCTTCCAAGTGGCGGAGCTACCCAAAGGTCCATCTCAGGTTGTCACGACGCGCACCCCATCGCCTGATGTTGGGCCCCTTCTTTTGGTGGGGCTAGGATGTCATGTTGTTTAGATCTCAACAGGGCCAAGCAAATCTTTTAGCACCCTTCAACAAACACAGACTCCTCAACTTCTTGAAGAAGTTGCCTGAGCCTGACCCAGCCGGGTTGACCGTTTTTGAACGAAAAGGGAAAACTGGCGCCTGGCTCTGCTCTTACAAAACCGCTTCACCTTTCCAATTCAACCCACTGCCAGCTGGATTCACCGCACGTGTGCAAAAGCCTGGGCAAAGCGAGGCGAATCCTTTGGCGCAAGTGCTGCTCAATGCATGCGCCCTACAAGAAACAATAATTGCTGCAAATCACTCTATGGAAAGTCGCCTGATGCTTCCTGATGGCCGTTTTTTTCCTCCCAGCTCAAAGCAGCTTAAACCGCATCCCTTCTCCTGGCAGACCAGGTCCATCTGGGTGAAGACGCGGTCCAGCATGGCCACTAGGTCGCCGGGGCCCAGGTGTGCCACCACCCGCTCGAAGTCGTATATGTCGATGAACACCACCGTCCTATGCTCGGTCACGCGAAGTGCAGCCAGCCGCAGCGCTATTGCAAGGTCAGGCGCAGATTTCGCGACAGGCGCAGCACTTTCAGAAGGCCAGGTAGAGGTTCCGTGGCAGGCGCATCGTTTGCGTAATGCACTTCTCGTGGCAGGCAAGGCACTTTCGGAAGGCCACGGCAGATTTCGTGACTGGCGCAGCACTATGGCAAGAATACGCGGAGTACACTGTAGGTGCCACTTTTATGCACAAACATCGCCGCGTTTTTCAAGTACAAAAGTAGCCGGCGAAGTACACTCACTTCTCCAGCTCAAGCGCGAAAATCACAACTTTTAAGTAGGGAAGAGACAGACGAAGAAAGAAAGAAAGAAAGAAAGAAAGAAAGAAAGAAAGAAAGACAGAAACACACAAACCAAGAAAGAAATAAAGAAATAAAGAAAGAAAGAATCAATGAAATAATCAAAGAATCAACAAATCAAAGAAAGACAGTTTGAAAGAAATAAAGAAAGATAAATCAATATAAAGAGAACCATCAAGAGAAAAACACAGAAATGCGAAATAAAAAGAGAAAGATAAAGATAAAGAGAAAGAGAGGGAGCGAGAAAGACAAAAATAAAGATATGGCGAAAGAGAAAGAAGGAGAAAAACAAAAACAAATCAAGCAACAAACAAAAACACACACACACACAAATGGAGCGAGAGAGAGAGAGAGAGATAAACAACAAATAACGAGACAAATCAAGAGAAAGATGAAGGGAAAGAGAAATATTCAGATAAAAAAGCACAACTTGTTTAAAGATAAATAGAGATAAAACGAGAACAATGAAGACAGAGATAAGGACAACTATAAAGAGAAGAGAAAGGGAAAGAAAGAGAGAGAGAGAGAGAGAGAGAGACGCGTGCTTCAAACTAATTATGGCTCTTGTATTTGAAACTTCCGCCGGCTCTACTGGTATGTATAATGTGCGAAGCCCCAAGGGCAACAACTTCCATTTAGCGGATTGGACTCCTATTTCACGTTTCCGCTGCGCTATTCAACGTTTGCTAACCGTGTCTGGATTTTGTCAGGTGAGGCTCGCAGGATCGAAAAGCTTCTCCAGTTCAAAACTGTAATTTGCCAGCTGAGCGGGATGGTGAGAACTTACCACTTCTTTGATACCACCGGAAGTTTTGCCCAATGCTTCCCTGGTCCCTGGCATGACAGAAGTGGCAACTAATCCTTCTCTACTGTTTTTTCCCAAAAACAGCCAAGGAACGAAACCCAACCCCTGAACAATTCAGCACACCTCCACCTTGCTTCCCCGACCTATCGCTCGCCGAGATGCACCACCCCACGCTCTTGGAAGATGGTCTCCGTGGAAGACACGGAGGCGATCTGCGTGTCTTTGCCTCAGGGACAGAAGCCGCAGGGCGGGCATAAACATCCCATCGAACCCGCAGGGAAATGCTCCTCCCACCCACTAGCATGAATCTGACTAGCGATCCCCAACACCCTCCGAAGTAGGAAGGATTCGCCCGGCTTTACTCGCCGCGAGAAATGCACTGGACCCCCAAACAGCATTGCGGTGCTTGAGGAAATAGAGGGGTCGCTTTCCCCACAAGGCCAGAAATATTGTGTTTGGGGGCCGAGGTCAACCACCTGTATTTATCCACCAAGCGAGAAACAAGACAAAGCCACAGCAAATTCATCAGGTGCAAGTTCCGAGCTGAACCTGCAGCAATGTCAACTTCGGATTCACCCCGGCGGACCATACAAAAACCAGGGCGGCTGCCCCTTTAGAGGGTGGAACTAAGTCATTGTACCAGGATTCCTCATAGTGTGGCCTTTATTTTCCAAAGATAGCAGCGGCCAGCTCCGTGAACGTAAACATGCTAAGGAGGGCACCACTGATGGGCTCGCAAAAGGCAATGGTTGCGCTGGTTGCGCAGTGTAGGCGAAATGTGGAACCCCAAAGGGAATCCCACAAAAATAGTTCTTCAAACAAGGCTCAATTTACTTCGTTCCGACTTCAATCTACAGGGGAGTGGGGGGATTGAAAGAAGGATCAAACTCATCATTGTCCTGGTTCTTCGGGGGCAATCAAAGGGTGATGATGTGGCACCGAGGCTGAAGACAAGAATGCAACTCCTAGGCCGCAAACAGCAGCTGCGGCACCGAGCACATGCGAACAATTCAACACCGCCAAATGCTTCGGTCAAACTTCAAAGTGGTCTTGGTTGCTGTTGACCCCCTGGGGGTTTAGTGGAAAACACAATTATTTCCCAAAAAAGTAAAGTCTAAAGATCCAACCCAATAGCAGTCAAGTCCAAATCGAGTTTTTAAGGCAACACCTGAGACCGCCGAAAGCTCCTTTTCGTCGAGTTTCTCTGGTTTTGATTGAAGCGGAAGCTCGTACGCACCGCTTCCACCACATCTTCGGGGTACATCCTGGGCCGGTCCAAACTTGCTGCTGCGATTGTTCGGAAATGTGAAACCTGGGCATTCCCTAGGAAACCACCAGTTGGATGGTCCAATTTCGAGTCATTCCACTTCTCATTTCCTGCCTGTCGCACCAGAAGCAAAGACGCGATGTGGTCCACGGATTCATCACTTTTGATCTGGGCCTTTTTCGAACAAACATCGGGGCAGCGTTTGTGAATCCGGCGTCCTTTAGCGCAGGGGGTTACACCAACCGATGAAACCTCAATACAACTGACATAGAAAGCGAAACACAAACAAATGAGTTGCGCCATTGCTTGCGTGGGATCTGACATGACGCTTGTCTTGGGCATATCCCAGCAAGAATGTACATCATACTCGAGCCACTAGAGCCCGGCGGCTTTGGGGTTTGCAACCGCTCACTGGCCACTGAAGAATGAATATGTATCCAAGTTCTGCATTTACGATGGCTTGGATGCAGTGGAATGTCACCCGCCGAGCAATCGCACTTGCTGTGAATGGCTCGAGCCGGGTGCGGATGTGGCATTCGAGCAGGCATTAGCATGCAACCAGACATCTCACAAATCATTGTGTTTGGTTTGGCTTCATTTGGACTCGGTGTTGGGTCTTTCTCCCCATACTCATCAGCAGGGACCCCCCCGCAATAAAACCGTGTGCTTTCAACCATCGTCATTCCGGAGGTGCCTATACCAATGTATCAACCTTTGATTCTGGATTGATGTGAACCCCTCACACGCATCTTAACAAGTGGCTCCCTATTCTACACTGATTTCAAACCTGATTCCTGCTTGGCGAACTGTGAGCACAACGCAGCTCGTCATGCAAAACGAACAAGAGAACCAAACCCACCAAGACAGTAGGAGCATGAACACTGGCCGGAATGAGAAGAGGACACAACACCTCCCAAAACATATTTCAATCAAGCATGCCGTTGCCTTAACAAAAACAAACAACGAACCACCTCCGCGTGTCAGACGCGATTCACGGTTTCACCGTCCCGTCGTTTGACTCCGAGGGACCCCTTGAGTAGATCCCGGTCCGCGTTCCGGGCCGAGCCGATGCGGTCGTCCCAGGCGAAGGAGTGCCGTGCAAAGCGCTCCGAGACGTAGACGTAGGTGCCCACCAACAAGACCAAGCCGAACTGAACCACCGAGTACTCCGCCTATTTGGCTGTGGATGTGGGTCAAAAATATGGAAACCCCAAAATGGAATCCTGCTGAATAAAAACATGGACCAAAACCTGCGGTCCCCTGGTGGTTTAATTTTGACCCATACGGCCCATACCCATTTAACCGGAAAAAGAGGAGGAACAGAAAAGGGGGTGCGTCGGTTCGGGGGTCACGGATTCGCGTTCGCTGCAAGCAAAACGTGAGGGGAGTCACGGACTCTGCCGAGCAGGCGGAGACAAATCATTGTCTCGACCAGTGAGTTGAACATGAAGTGAGCTTTGCAATGGCACGGCTCCGCCTCACACTAGTCGGTTTTTGTCCGCCAAGCATGCTTGAGGTTGGAAGCCATTCGATTTCGGAACCACGCACGATAGCAAAGCTGCTGAACAAGTGGGCTAAGCTTCCCCAAATGGATTTGGTGACCATCTGGACGATGTAGCAACTAGTGAGACTTTGCTAGAATTCATGGGTCCCCAAACCCGAAAAGCCGCTGCAAATATGGAAGTCCTTTGAAGCCTACCCCCACCGTCAAACATTCACAAAAACCGTGAACATTGCCCAGCAAAAGGCCTTGTGTTGGGCCAATCCCCAAAACACCTGTGCTACTCTTATCTTCCAAGTGATGTATTTTGGAGAACCCCTCGTGCAACATCTGCAAGGGGCTGGCCTCGTTCCAGCTGTTCAGAGACCCGATAGAACAAAATCAACCCGTGGGAAGCCCAACGGAAAACTGGTGACATTTGAGCACCGGCGCCTTCAAACCACCATTCTGGTCGCACACCGAAGAAGCGGTGTTTCCATTGCCCACCGTGCCTCAGTGCATGCGAGGCAAACGGGGCAGCAAAATCACGCATTTATGTCCTTCCAGCTTGTATTTGTTTATTTTAAAAAAAGGGGTTGCGCTCCCGCTCCATTCCTCACTTCGCAAACACGAGGAGCAGATGCATGTGGAAGGGCGCCGCGAGGGTACGCCCAACACCGTCCATGCAGTACTGGGACGGGGTGGGGGGGCGGGGAGATACGCTTTCACACGCAAGCTATCATTTCCCAGGCGAACAGCTCTCAAGAAGCCTGCATGAAGAAGCCACGAAGCAGCCAGCAGGACAACATTGAAAAGCAGCGCAGCTGGTTGAACGACACACATCTCAAATGAATCCCATATTGTACATGAGTGTGTCTCTGTTGAAGGGGTCCTTGTCACTTGGTTCGCAGGCAAACGAAAAGGACCTATGCTTTACGCGCGGAAGGGGGGCGGGTTCTGCATTGTCAATTGAACAAACGGATGCAGCTTGAGAATGTCCACCCTCTGTAGGTTCAATTTGAGCTTTCTTGTTGCATGCTGCCTCTGTGCCACCGTTATGAAAAGCTCCAAAGCAACTCTTCAAATGTAAATTGCGACACAACATGTAGTAGTCTGTGCTTCCCAGCAAATGGGCTCCAAGACAGTGCGACGTCGCAGCTTCAAAAAACATGAGCTTGCCATATACGAGGAAAACCACCTGGAGCATTGCCATCTGGCAGCATTTCACTTGGGCATTGTTTGGCAACTATTTCGGTTTCAACATGACGAATCAAAATCTTGGCATGCTAAGCGAATCTCACGCCGATGCACCCCAGGTTCTAAGCGAGAAGCAGGAAATCATAAGCTGCGATTAGCGTTTGGATGTGATGGCTCGCGTGTTTCTCAAAAAAGGACTCCTGCAAATGGTGTGTGCCCTATTGTTTGGGCCCATTTGGCAGTCGAGCCACAGCAAATCACCTCACGACCACTTTTGTTTTTGCCAGGGGAACAAACCATGTCAGACAACATGAGGCTGAGTTGGTGCATGGACAAACGCCCGGTTCCGGTCGATGTTCCCTTCAGGCTTCCCCTGGAAAGGGGACGGGTAAGGTACTTTGATCGACACATGGCGTGAGCACATGGGGAGAGAAAGCCCGTCGAAAGGCCAGCTGAAAGGACCGCCTTTGCAGGTGGCATTTTGTCATTGGGGCAGGCCATCACTAAACAAGGTGCCCCTTGATGTCCCCTGCTTTGGCCAAAGGCAGGCCTTGAGGGACCACTGCTTACAAAAAGACAACAGGATCAACACCACTTAGCCCTATTTAGGAGAGAGGGAGATTCGGAGGCCGAACAAAACACATGTTGAATGCCATTCAATCCGTATGTGTCAAAAGTAAAACTTGGAAGCTCAACCACCCAAAACGGGTCAAAGCCATCAAAAACGGATCCGGCTAAGGCCTGAGTCAACATCTGGGCTGGGGCGCAGGTCACCTCAGTCAGGAAGAGGCGCTGATGAAGCACCAGCAAGACCTGTGGCCAAGGGCACTGTGCTCACGGCCCTGAGGAATCGCCCAGCCCGCCCGAAGATTGCTTTGCGGTTTGCGGCAGAAAAGGGATAGCACAGAAACAAGCAGACAAAATGGTAACAGGAGTGCCACTCTGTCATTGGCTTGTGCGCGCCACTTTGGCCAAGCAAGCGAAATAAGAAGAGCCCTGTCAGCATAGGCCAAACCTGTGCACTCTTCAAGACGGTCCTCGAGGCTTGAACCTCTTTGGAAAATAGCAGCAATCTTGTTGCTTTCTCACGGTAGCAAGCGAATCAAGCACCACGACAGCTGACCAACACTTGTGTTCATTGTTCAAATGAGGAGCACTGGAATCAAGAGAATCCGAACACTTTAAGACTGTTGAAGTGGCTGTGGGTCAAAATTAAACCACCAGGGAACCGCAGGTTTTAGTCCATGTTTCCTTTTACCAGGGCTCCATTTTTGGTACCCATTTTTGACCCACAGCCATGTTCCATTTGCCCAGTGTTTGCTTGTGCCGGCATGCTGGCCATGCCCGAGACCCACAAATAGTAATCAATTTGATCAGCTTCACTCCAAGCAGAAGACGGCGTTCCATGAACACAACTGCTGAAGGCCTCTATGTAAAGTGTCTTGCAAAGGGCTGAACATGTCCACCACCCATCGACACTGCGACGCACTGCGCAGAATGAGTAAGTTCCGGCTGTTCCACGCTGTGAACAACACACCATGAGGACATCAAGCCCTCCCGCAATAAAGCACCACCAGGACCACAACTTTCAGGAATGCCGCACCAGCCCCCAAGAATTCATCTAGTGACAGCCGGATAACAACACTACACCGTATCTATTGAGGCGGAATCTTCTTCAAACATCCCCTCGATGGCCCCACCCCCAGACCGCCAGTGCGGGCTATGGGGCCATGTGCAGGAACAGCACGAAAACCACCACGGGAAAGCGCATCCGAACCCCAGCGCAGAAGAACAAGGGCATGATAGCATCCTAAGTCGAAACGCCAAGCTTGCATGGCGCAACATGGCGCCGCGTGACACAGATGTCACAGAAAGTTGGCCAACGCAATAAAAAAGGGTGCAGCTTTAGGAGGATAGGGGTTTAGGGGTTTACAACCACATCCCCTAGTTTCCATTGCGAAAATCTATGCATGTAAAACTAAACCGTCGTCCTGGTGGCCGCGTCCCATTCAAGACCCTTTGGGTTGACAAGATGTTGGCACGGGCATGTATAAAACATGGACTAGCAATAGTGTCTAACGGGGGTGTCGGGAACCGTTACCCAACAAGTGGGTCGATTTGGGTAGTGGCACGTTGAACACCTCACCAAATGGTCACTACAAAAAGATATCACTTGACTGAAGGAAGGCCTGTGGACACCATTTCATGATCACTGGCCTTTGTAATTAAATAATTAGTTGGTCTCTTCATGACTTGAGGCCGCCAGCAAATGCAATCCCTACATGTGACACTGCCCGCAAGAATGCCAGCAAAATGACTTGATGCCCAACAAAACAGAGTGGCACTCTATGATATTCAAATGATATTCAAACAAGACCTGCCTCCAGAATTGACATGTTTAGACCCGGCCATTTGCTCAGACCCCTCAGCAAATGCCCCCAGCTAACTTAAGCTTAAGTGGCTTCCTTACACAATGTTCACGCATACGGCCGTTCAGAGCGTTAACACATCTTGCTACACAAGAAACGGTTCTGCCAAGAGGCCGAGACATAGCCAGGCACGTCTGCCACAATCTGGCGCAAAGCGTCCGTTTTGGCCAATCGATCGGCCCCCACGACTCACTGCGAAACTAGCGGATTTCCATGTTTTGTTCAATGAAACCTGTGGGAAAGCCCGGGCCCCGCTGCTTGCTTGCTTTGTAAACCGGCGATTCGTCGCACATCCGGAAAGATCAGTGAGTGCGGCCTCATACGCATGCTTCGCAATCATCAGCGAGCAGCAGATGATGGCGACATAGCCTGCATACAGCGGCATCGGTTGGGGCGAGCTCTGGCACTGCTCCTTGGGCTCAATGGCCCGCGGTTCACGGGGGCAACCCCAAATTCAACGTGTTTCAACATTGATTGAACAAGTGGTGTAGACAGCCTCCTTCCCAGTAAATCACTAGACGAGGATCCTCAAGGGTGAAGCAAGCCCAAGGAGACATTGCAGGGGTTCTGAGAGCTCTGGGAACTTGAGGGGATAGAGGCCATTGTCTCCCCTGAAGCCTGGAACAGGCTGTCTGAATGTTGGTGTGCTATGCCCCTTCGGGATATTTAAAACAGATTGGGAAGACTTGCCATACTTGATTGACACAAGGAATGAATTGCTTCACGACGAGGCTGAGGCATCTGCCAAACCGGGGGGTAGCGCTGGGCAGGCACGGTAGGGGGCAAGAGGCTGTCAAAGCTGGCAGAAGAACCTCACTGCAATGCGTGCCTGCCACTCTCGAAGGGTCTTGGATCTCGCCGCCTAAAAGAGTTCCATGATCATAGCATGCCGTTGTCTTGGCTGCCAACAGGTTTGGAGCAGGCGCCCAGTACGTCGACACAGTTGAAACATCTGCTTCTGGTCAGCTCAGCTGCTCCCTTTTGGAAGGTTCTACCACGATCACACTAATTCTAGAACGTTTGTCTTTTTCTGTTTGGTCAGTGCTTTTTAGGCGAACGGCGGAGTTGCAAATTCAAGGCTTCTTGTGGCACATCATCTTTCCAGTCCAAACATCAATGTGTCCCGTCGAAACGGCGATGCTTCGCGATGCACCTCGCGAAACGGCAGCTGTGGCATTCAGCATGTTTTTGTTCGGCGGCTTCTTGCTGAAACAACATTGTCGTTTTGCGAAAGAGCTGAACACATGGCTCCATGTGAAAGTTGCTTGTTCACCAAAGCCCTGCAAGTTTAGTTGATGGAGTCCAGCTGCCATTGCCCAGCCCATTTGCGCCAAGCAGCTGGCTTGAATCGAATCCATAATCTTGAAGCGCAAGGGGAAAAGGATGATCTCCTTGGCTAGGTGTTGATTGGGGAATCTGGAAATTACATTTTATATAATATATGTCAATCCCAATCATGTCCAGCTCACTGGGTGCCTACGAGTGGATTTCTACTACCCCCACTAAAATCAAACATGCATTTGCCCTCCTACCAACTAACATGGAACCTGACATGAGGGTCCCGGAAGACAATTTTCCTTGTAAAGGGACCCCCTGTCAAACAGGTTTCATGCTAACTGCTGGGAGGGTCACTACTTTTCTTGTTGGCCGCTTGGTCTGTCGAGCCCAGCTTTGGTTCCTTAGGCTGTTGCCATCGCAAGGCCTGGTGGACTATAGTCCTGCGGGAGATCTTTGATTGTGGTACCCTCCCACCGATTAGCATGGAACCTGAAAGGGGGTCCCTTCAAAATTAAAATGATCTGCCTGGACTCCCGTGTCAGGTTCCATGTGACTTGGTGGGAGAGTATCTGAAGTAAACAAAGGTAGGCCAACCACTTGTGGAAGTCCCCAGCTTTAGTAACCACATCCGGCAAGCTTATTCCTGCTAACGCCAAGTAGAAAAGAAAGAAACAAGGCACCCTAGAAGCAAAGCCCCTAACAAATTGGACGCGTCCTGGAAGAAGGAGAAGCGAGGCGGCCCGGGTCAAGCCCCCCAAAAAAATCGGACGGCCCCGCAAGAAAAAGGGCCCGTAAGTAAAGCCCCGACAAATTGGACGCTCCCAAAAGAAGGAGAAGCAAGGCGCCGCAAAGGTAAAGCACTCTTTAAAAAAAAAAAAAGCAAAGAGGAAAAGCCTCCTTAAAAAAACCTGCACGCCCCCCTAAGGAAAAAAAAACACATGGCCCAGGTGGGTGCCCAAGGTGCGCTGGCCGCCACAGCTCCGAAAATGATCAGCAGGGTCTGTGGGATGGACTCAGAGTCCTGGAGCTTTGGCTGGGCAAACATCCTTTGGCTGGCTTTCTAGCTGGGAAATACTATATTCAATATTTCAAGAAAATTATAAGTGAAACTAGTATTTAAAGATCAATTTTATTGATATTAAATATTAATAAGCTTTCAATATGTAAATATATATTTAATAACAAATACATTTATATCTTAATATTAATGTTATTTAAACTATATTTATACATTTAACATAAGGGGGTTTGCATGGACTTGTGTTTGCCGGGTCGCAAGCAAAACCGAAAGGAAAAAGAAACCACTGAGACCAAAAACAGATTCCGGAACAATAATGTGGACCCACAATCACATCAAACAAAACTCGAGAAATCGTATTCATGGTGACCTGGCTCGTTGGTGTGTGGTAAACACATAGCTAGCAAACAACATTGCATTCCCAGTGTATTCGTAGTTTGTGAACAGCATGGATTTACCCTCTAGTATATCAACATATATCTTTATAGCATCATATGGGCATGTCTCTCACATATCCCAAGTATACATCCAGAATAGCTCTGTAGGTCCCTAGTGCATGCTTCATGTGTGTAGCATATGCCTGCTTTGGCGTTGGCACTTATGTATGATCAGTTCCGGGGAGTAAGATAATTGTTGTTATATGGCTAGTTATGCCAAACATGCGTCTAAAATATGTCCAGTTTGCATAGAGCATGTGTCCATCAAATGTCTAACATGTTTATAGAATAAAACTACTAGTAGAGAATACTCAGTATTGTCACTTTCTGAATAAACATGCGTCTAGTTACTCCAAGCATTGTTGTTTATGTCTTACATATGTTTAATAAGGTTCTAGCAATTATGTAGCTTATTTACAAATGATTGCTTCTAGATGTTAGAAGGTGTTCAATATCTATATATATATATATACGTTACGTGTCTAGCAAAAACCTAATATGTTTCTATGATATGGTAAGCATGTCTGGCAGCACAGGCTTGGGGTGATCATGATTTATTTCAATTGTTTCAAGTAGGCGCTCGTTGCATACAGTATGAGTCCAGAGCACTTCCAGCATAGCTCTGGCATGTTCTTAACATCGTCCTATAACCTGAGGGCGCAGAGGCTTCTCGAAAAGTACCACCGGCAAAGGAGTCGTGTCTCTTTGTAAGGGTGCTCTGTGCCTTAAAGGCTTGCTTTCATTAACACCCAGGATTAAATTAGTACGGGGAGTGTCCCATGTTGAAGGAGGAGCTTTCCCTTTTTGGAGGAACACCAGCGCCTCTATACTGAAAGCTGCGCAAGCGAGGCGTTGGAACAAACTGTGGGCACAGTGCTGGGAGAGCTCTGCTTTTCGAGACGCACTCGTTTAAACCGGGGTGCAATACAAGGTAAATGCACGGATTGGAGCGAATCCGAGGGGTTCCAAGGGCAATCAAAGGGTAAACCACCCATCTGTTTGCAGCCACGGGGCAGACCAGGGCTTTGAAGGATTCTGCAACCAATTGACAACCTACCCATTTTTCGGGGTTGGGCTAAAAGAACTCCCCATTCCCCAGAAAACATCACCCCAAGCAACACACTCAGCTTTCACGGCCCGAAAAGGCGATGTTCGAAACCTCCCGAAAAGTGACATGTAGTACCCCTGGCAAAGCGACACCATCTGCTTTTTTGTTCTTTTTTTGGGGGGGGGGGTATCCGGGATCCGCTTGGGAACCCGATCTTTGGCCGCCAGCAAGGCGATGAGCTTTACCAGCTGAAAGCCCACGATGATGACCCAGGTCACGGAGCGTACCTATGTCTTACAAAATCTGAAGAAAACAACAATTATGTTCCGCTTTTGAATTTACAACTTGATATTTAGAAGATGTTTGGTATAATGTACTTGAGAATCACTCTATTTTATTGTTGTTGGAACATTTTCCCAGTCGTCAGTGGCAGCAAGCTTAACATGATTCACCTGGTTCTCTGTAAAGGCAACTTGAAGGGCAAGAGTGGGTTCACTAAGGCTCACCAAGTATGGATCACGATCTAAACGAGACGTGGTGGCACCTCCCACTACAGCGGCAGAGACAGGCACAAGATACCGTCTTGCACTTTAAGTCTCCCAAGCCTTGACCGGCTGAATGACTTTCAAAGATCCCAAGGCTGATAGGTACCAAGGATTACCAGCGAAACTCAAACTGCGATTCTCCAAATTATCTTCTTAATTCATGCATATGTTAGCACCTCGGTGCGCTTGCGACAAGGCACTAAGGCACCCAAACTTTCGGAGTCTCTTTGACTGCTCCGGCGTCCAGCCAAGCAAAGCTCACTCTTTCCACTAGTGAGAAGCAAATCACCTGCTTGGTTGCTCCTCCGTTGCAGCAGGTTGGGGAAAGAACAAAGACGGTCAAATCAAATATACGCCGGTACACTTCCCAACCCTGTTTTGAGTTTCTGGTGAGCCAAGTCCAAGCACATTACAAACAGCAAAAAACAACGACATCTACTTGAACCCAAGGTACAATCCAAACCTACACTAGGACCTACACGTAGCGCCAACCTGATAGGCAGAACGACTCCGAGCCAAGCACGGAAACAAAGAACTGGTTGCGGCTGGTGTGGTCGAAGTTTTGGCAGAAGGCCTCAGGGACCAGCATTGGATTCCTTCATGGGCGTGTCTCAAGCTGAGGGAAACCGGACGAATGGTTGGTGTTCTCCTGATTTCCCATGAAAACCCTTGAAGGGCCTATCCCCTATCCCATGCTGCGTAGCCATGTTAGGGCCTTCGCAACCACTGTGGCTGACACAGGTAAGCTTCCGCAGCTGCCCTTTGGACGGCTCTAGTTACCAGCTGCTTCTTCCCCCCGCACTCCCCACCTCAAGGTCGACAAAAAACTAATTCTGGAGGGCCCCCTGGGCAGCCCTCCCGCCCATTCTGGGTCCTTTTCGAGTAAGCCCTTGTTTGGGTATGTGTCAAAACAGTGGACCCTCCCCCTCCGCGCAAAAATGAAGGTTTTCCTCTTGGTTTCCGGATAAGAAATCTTGGCCTCCCAAAACATAGGCACATGTTTTACAAACAGCCCTCTACCAGCCATCTTTGCGGCCAGGTGAGCCATCGGTAGAAAGCCCGAGTTGGCAAGTCCCAAGTAGGATGTATCCTTCATATGACCCGAGCTGGACTTTCTAGCTTGGCTGATCCCAAACTGATCGGGTCCTGATCCCAAGCCGAAGCCTGCGAATCGGAGGTTGCGAGTGGGGTTAGCACGCTGTGATCCTTTGCTTATGGAGCCGTGGCTTTGAATGTCCTCAGCAACCATTAACTACCTGATGCAAGAACTGTGACAGTGACTTTTGTGGCCAACCTGTGGTCAGAACGCAGGAATGTAGGCGAAACCCCTACGCGCGGTCCGCCGAATCAGGTAAGTATACGCACAAGAGCCCCGATCGGAGCGTGCGCCTGCTCATGAAACTTGGAGCGGAACTTCAGCGTGAAAATGTTGTACACAAACCTGCTGGGCGCACAGCTGTCGAGTAGCCCGGGAATTTGCGACTGCCCGTTTCTGAGTCTTACATGCTTCGGGTCTGGGAAAATGGCTTCATTCTCTTGCACCTTCCAAGCGGCTTTCCAAATATAAATGCTAGCGTCTTTCCAAATATAAATGCTCCCCATAATAGGAGCATGTCCTGCGAAGGGAAACGGGGGAACCCCCATGGACTCGAACTGGACATTAAATCCTTGATCTTCCGCCTGGGACTTGAGATTCCATGCGTTCTTGCCCATGCGGATGTACTCCCGTCATTCTTTACCGACCCCAGTGCAATGTTTTGAGGGAAGGTGATGTCGAAGGGATTGCCGTTACGCATGGGTTCGACTGTAGGTCTGTTTGCGCATGTCAATGTGGCCTCAAGGGACATGGTGTTATCTTCAGGTGTTTCTCTTCTACGTCATTCGTATCTATGTGGAACGCTTGTAAGATGCGAGGAGGGGTTACTCTCACTCCGAATGACCGATCGCTTGCCATTAGGAAGTGGTTGAACAACTTCATTGCCGCGTAGCTCCTTGCTTGATCAAGCTGGCTCACACGCGGGCAACCGCACCACATTCACAGGCTACTCAGGATGCAGAGTGCAAGGATGAAGCAGATATGCTTTTCACTGAGGTATTTCATCCGTTCTCGATTGACTGACAGGTTTGATTGACTTTTCGATTTGTTGTTTCAGTTTAAGGGAGAGGGTCTCTGGCCGATAGGCTGAGCCTTCTGAGCAACTGGGGAATTCTAGCCGTTAGGCTGGGTTCCTGGATTGCCCGCGCCCTTGCGCTGCTAGTTTGGGTTCCGTGGCCGGTGGCCCGAACCTGCTGACGCATGGCGGCTGCTAGTGGAATGGGCATGGGGCGCTGCATGGTGACGCCTCCGCGGCCGTCCTGGGACCTGGCGATGGGGCTGGGCATGGAGAAGCCGAAAGCTGTGGCCGAATGTCTGCTTGCGGGATACCGCGAGTGGACGGTTAAGGGATTTAAGGGACAGGAGCCGAAGTTCACTTCGATTGATCCAGATATGGATAAGGCGGATCAGCTAATCCAGGATGATCCTGCAGGGAGGTTCGATGAGCTGGTTGGCAGAGTGTCCCACACCAGCAAGGAGAAGCTTGAAAAGTCCCTCATTGGGTGGCCGGATCATGAAAGAGTGACTCGACACCGGGTGGTCAGGACTGCCGCGATAGCGGCAGAAATGAAGCACCGGGGAGTGGAGGTCACGGAGATGAACGCCGTGCATTTGGCGGCCATCTTGTGCGCAGCGGTTCCAACGGATCCTGCTTTCCTGGTTCCCTATAGCGACGCATTCTCGTACGAGGAGGGCATCGGGAGCGGCGGGTCTGCGCTACCTGTGGACAATAGTGTGGAGCCGGCCGCTCAACCGTGTGGCGGGATGTGGGTTGGTGACCCGAAGTCCTGGCCAGAATGGAAAGCGGTTCACCAGCAGACAGCCTTGGCCAAGACGGTTGCTGACCAGGCTGAGGTGGCGTTTGGAGATCATCCTCTATACACCGGGGATGATTTTGGCGATGCAGAGCATCACTTCATGGCGATCCGGGCCAGGTTGAACGATAGGCCCAACGCGCTGTTCACTCCTCCAGAGGTGGTCGTTGACGCAATGATGCTGACCGAGGGGAGGAACAGGGAGGAGATCTTTAGATGCTCCTCCGGGCGGCGGTTATCGTCGGTGCAGTCAGTTCAGAAGTTTGTAACGGCCGATAGGCCGGGAATGCGGGGATACCTGCATGCGATGGGAAAGATGTCGGGCTTGATCTCTTCCGTGGGTGATGCGATCGAATGGGACTATCGACAGGTGTTGAGGATCTCGCCCAAGAACCCGGCAAGCGCCAGTGATGTTGAAATTGGTCCTGACGATAGGTGGGCATTCTTCGACTTGGCTATCAACTTCAGGAGCCGCTCAGATACCGAAAAGGTCCTCATCCATGGAACTTCGCAATCCTGCAGCTGATGAAAAAAATAACGAAAACACATTTCTGTACCCAACAGGGGGCAGTACGTCCAGGTTGCGGCCAAGTGGCTCTGTCGTGTAGTTCACGTTAAATCGCGACTGCCTGAGGCTGTCATGCCAGGCAGATTGACCCGAAGGTCCAAGGCTTGATTGTTGGAGAGGTAGAAAGATGGCCATCCAACACTGTATTTCTAGTCCAGGAGCCGCCAGTCACAAAAGCTATCACAAACCCTTGCACTAGTTTTCCAACCTTTTGGTTGCCATTCCCTCGCCTTCTCTCTCTCTCTCTCTCTCTCTCTCTCTCTCGCTTCAAGTCAGCTAGCGCTAGATTGCCAAGGAAACTCACTTTCACCCGGACGCAGCCAGGCTCAAGTCATCTACAATCTGCGACTTCCCGGAAAAGTCAGTGCCCAAGCACTGTAGCCACCGAAATGAGCTCAGGGCATGTGCAAATGTGCACCCCAGGTGGCCAACTGGCCAAGGTGGCAAATGTTCACACCAGTGCAAAACATAACCCGCATACACCCATGCACCCACGCGCCCGGCTCCAAGGTGCCGGTAGTCCACCGGTGCCGCCTGCGGGCCCGTGGTGGTCTCTTCGTCCCGGGGCTCCAAGTGATCCAAGTGCAGCAGCTCTCGCTGCATGCCTCAAACTTCGGTGCCACAGGCTTACAGAACATTCCTATTATCGTTGTGTTTGCCCCCACTGCGAGAAACAAAGTAAATATGCTACTCTCTCATGCTTATGACCTAATTTGGATGGAATTTGGGCGTAGAAACGACGACAGCCCGATTATTTACCAAAGGCAAACTGGGACCCAATCAGGGTTCCACCTTCTGACTACCAAGATAGACTTAGACTCAGGGCCTTTAAACAACCGCTGGGTTTGGGTTCACCTTGGGGTGGTCAGTGAGCGGGAATGCCAGGCCTGTGATCTGCGAAAGCTTCTCGGCGATGTTTTGTGTGACATCCTCCTCCACGTGGTTCGCATCCTTGCCCCCTAGCACGTCGGACATCCTCGGGAATCGAAAGCTTCTTGTACACATGCATGCGCACGTGTGTATTTGTATATTAGCAGCCCCTGCAAAGGCCATGACCAAGACTTGTGAGATTTACATAACGGGCGCTGAAAGCCGCGCGAAGTAAGCGTGCTGCGGCTTCCAAAACCATGTGTCAGTGCGAAGGTTGGCCAAACAGCGCAAAATATTTACATTGCGCTGGAGCAAGCCGCGCTTGAGCAACGCAACATACATTCGAGCAAAACACCCTTGAGCAGGAAGCATTTGAGCAAGATACGCCTGAGCAAGATACACGCGAGCAATACTTGCTCAAGGCCATCCTCACGTGACCTGTTGTGACTGTGACCACTCTGGAGGCCCAAGCTTCTCATGGGATAGTGTCTCCCTCTGACGGCTATGGTGGAAGGGCCAGCATTGAGCAAGAATCACTGTACACATGGGCAAGATGCACGTGAGTTCTCGTTCGGGCAAGATATGCTCGAGCAATATAGCTAGTTGAGCAAGACATACTTGAGCAAAATACACGCGAGCAACATACACCCGAGCAAGGAATATGAGCACGAAACACTTGAGCAAACACACATGAGCACTATGTACTTGAGTGACATGCACTCGAGCAAACTAAATTCGAGCAAAAAAACATGTGAGCAACATACACATGAGAAGCGTGCACACAACATGACACACTTGGAGCAAACTCAGGCGCTTCTACTCGAGTAGTATTGACTGATGGCAATGTGAGTGGGGCTGCGAGAAAGCGCAGGTCTTCTTCTTGTAAATATGTTTTCGGCTTGCGTTGCTTTGCACTCACAGAAGGTGTGTGTGTGTGTGTGTTTATGCTTCTGGGCGACCCGTCGTCTACTTGTTTTAGATTTCGGGTTCCATTTTAATCTGCAGGAATATATCATATCAGGCTTTTGGATGATGGAAGCCATCTTTCACGCAATTGAGTTATCCTCGGCAGGCTTGCAGCAGGAGTCGTCTTTCAGCTTCTCTTAAATCAAGTAACAACTATTACATTCGCCTCGGCCCCAAGGGGGCCAAGGGCGATCAGATCTCTTTTCCAATGAGAATCTTCATCCCCAACCCATTCTTCGGCCCCCCCCTCACCTATGTCTGCTGGCCCAAGAGGGCCTTGAAGCTTTCGGGGTTAGAGGGCATCCAGCTCCATGGCTGAGAATGCGAAACTAGCAGGCCAAAACCCGCCCCTACCAGCGGCAACCAGCAACCCCACCACCGGACGGAGCTCACCACCTGGCAGCCCGCAGCCACCTAGCCACACACAGACTGCTGACGTGGCTGACTAGCTGGCCCAGCAGGAACCTGGCCTGTCTAAAACTAGCTTCAGGCCCAGCCCAACCAACAACCCACCCAAGCCATTTGCGTTGGTTGTCGAGACTTTCTGCGCAACTTCCAGGGATTCCTGCGCAACTTCGGCCCATGACATCAATTGGTCCAACGACGCCAGAACCTGTCCATTCCTGAATCGCCACTTGACCAGCTCTGCTGCTTGCAGTCGAACCACAGACGCTGCACGCTCGGCTGGGCCGAGGAGGGCAACACGCAGCGCTTTTCAACTATGCTTCATGCACCATGATTCGCCAATTTACAAAGGCTCATACATTTACTGACGCATAAACGCCTTTGAAAGGATAGACTGACGCACGCGAAAACAGATCAACTGTTCAAGGCCGATGACCTCGGAAGGAACAGGAATCAACAGTGCCCCTGTGGTGAAAGCAATGACAATTGTCGTTTCCTTGTCGTGTAACTTTGGGCGGAACCCCATCTTTCACCGTTTTGCTTTGCTGAAAACCAAACCGTGGCGCTCTGAACTCCTTTGCACCCAAATGGGCTCGCTGCTGATTGGGTGAATCTACCAATCAACCAAAGGTCAAAACTGAATGCCAATTACCCAGGAACCCAAACTGAGCTAGGTAATTGCTCAGGCGCATCATGTCCGACTCTGGGGTCTCTAGCACCTGAATGTTCTAGCCACGAATCATGCGGCCGACGGTTCATTTCGTTGGTTGGGGCCTATAGCGGAAACACTCAGCCCGGGCAAACCCAAGGCCGACCGAAACGAGCGAATGAGCCGAAGGGCAAGCTTATCTGGCTCCACTGCAAGTAGCTGAGCCGTGCTCTCCACTCCTGGCGAGGGATTGAAGGCAATGACAGGAAGGAACCAATTTTGGATTTTTTATCATGCAAAAAAAAGGCAGTCGAAAACAGAAAACAACAATAACAATGTTCATCTCGTTTGGCTTCCTTCTTTGGGAAGTTGAAAATCATTGCCTGTTTGGCGTCATGGTCTTTTCTAGCACCCCAGTTGTATTTTCCTGAAACACCCTGAAAAGAGACTCACGTTGCCTTGGGTGACGTGCCAACCTTTCAAAGGTTCCACTGTTTTCACTGTTGGCTCCATCCCGGCATGGAAACGGCACTGATGGAACGTGACGTGCTTTTCACCAGGCTGAAATGCGTGCCTTTTCGCCAATGGGCAGAACAAAAGAAGCAGCGTTGTCCAGGTCTCTTCGTGCTTCTCCGCCTATATCCGCCTGTCTGCTTGCCTGCATACTGATTGGCCCATGATGAAATTGATGAAGAGTCTCACCGAGTGAATGTCTCCGCTTGGTCTGTCCTCACCCCACCATCTTCCAAGATGCGCCAGCCCGATTGAACCGTCCTCAGGCCGGGTAGATTTGCGGAACAAAACACAACCCGAAACCGCCAGAGGCATCCCATGTATCAAACCCGGGCAAAACGGAAGCAAAGAAGCTTTCACAGCTTACTTCCTGAGTGGATTGGCCCAAAAAGTCAATTCTCGCTGTTTACAACTGAACAAGTGTAAAGTCCAGACAAACTTGGTTTGGTGCACAGGCTCGCTTTGCTGAAAACAACCCTTCCAAAGGGTGTCAGTGTCACATGCCTCGTTTGGGCCTGGATGGCACATTGCATCCAGCAATTACTAGCTGCTAAAACTGGGCAGTCCAAATGGAGACCCAAATCCGTTCGCAGTCCGGCGGGACTTAAGATTAAGGGGAAGAATCAAAGGAAATGGGTGAAGGGCAACGTTGGGCAAAAAGGAGAAGGCCAAGACAAGGTCCTTAAACAGCGGAATATTCTTCCTTGCACCTGTAGGGTACCTGGAACATTTTCCTTGGGGCAGGGACGGAACTGAACCGTTTTTACGCGGGCCTCTGTTATTGCAAGGCCTTAACTATACTAAACACGAACAGAAGGGTTTGAAGCGCAGCTCACTTGCCACTGAGATTACGAGACTCCCAGGCCTACAAGATGATTCGCAGCCAAGCTTGCCTTGCAGCGAACGCAGCAAGGAAGGTGTGACGAACAATGCTGCACCAACTTAGGAAGCTCAAAATGAGCGCCGGGGTTCTGGCACGCTGCCGTTCACTCAAGAAAACACAAATGGGCAGTGTTTTTTTGTTGGTGCTC